CGCAAAACGGCTACTGTTTTATTATTAGCTTCGGGACGAAGAGTCCATGATTTAACTTTACTTAAAATTTCAAATAATCATTTCTTTGATAATGGTGAAGAATTGTATTTAATACCAGATTTTGGTTCTAAAACTGATACACATAATTTTTTTTTTTTTTTTTTTTTTTTTTTTTTTTTTTTTTTTTTTTTTTAAAAACGTTGCCCCACACTAGGATTTTCTCCTGTGTCGTGGGTGCGTTTACAAACATACAAGTTCACATACACAATGACACCCAGACCCGAAACAACAATTTGTGGATCACACAAAGTGATGTCCCGTGCGGGAATCGAACCCGCGACACGTTGCTCGGCAGCCGGTTGCCCAGCCACCGCACCAACCGTGCAGTCTATATAATTATCGTCAATCTGCATGGAAGTTTTCTAAACATCATGATAAAAACATATGCCCGGTCACTTTGATTAGACTTTTAAACGACAAAAATAAAACAAGACGGTTGGAAGTTGATGGCTTAAATTGTCTGTTTATTACTGTAAACAAAAATGTTAAAGCGGCGTCCCGCACTGTCATAGGAAACTGGATACGATCAGTGTTGAGAGATAGTGGGATTCAGGCACCCCCAGGAAGCTGTAGATCGGCTGTGGCTTCCCTGGGGTGGTCAGATAATCAACCAATAGATGAGATTTTGTCACGGGGTAATTGGAAATCTTCTAATACATTTTTTAATCATTACTGTCGTGAGATAGCACTTCCAAAAAATAATCGTAATCCATTCTTTGGTACTTTTAAACCAGCCTAATCTAACGATTACAGAGTTAATTTTTCTTTAAATCATTTATTATTTACTTTAATTTATTGATAGTTGGTATAATTAAGTCTCATATTATATTGGATTGTAGGCTAGTGTTAAATTAATGAATAAATAGCTTATTTTCGTACTAAGTCTTACTTATTTACTGAATAATCAATCAAAATAGCGTTGTGTTACATGCACATACATTTCACCAGCAGATAACAAACACGTCTTCAAAGCAATGCTGTATGTTTTCCGGAGGCACATCAATATACCGGTTTTGCATAAAACAAAACCGATATTATGTGCCGAGAGGGAAAACATACAGCATTGCCGGAAGTTCTTCCTGGTGAAGACTATGACATTCGAAGTCTAACGCTCCGGCGCGTCTTGCTGGTGCAACCTAACGCCATCTAGTTACATTTAGGTGCAACCACGTGTTTACTAACGTCGATCATAGATGGAGCTGAAAGTATACGACTGCTTCTTCAAAGCAATGCTGTATGTTTTCCCTCTCGGCACATAATATCGGTTTTGTTTTATGCAAAACCGGTATATTATCTACGATCACCTGAGGTAATGAGTCAACCAAGATTTACATTTTACAATCATAAAAGTGATTAATATTTTAACTGGAACATGCCTAGTTATTCTTAAAGAATGTGTCATGTAATAGTTTGACGTGTTTCATTGAAATATGACGTGCCAAGACATCAAATCTAAGGTATGAAGCATAAAATCTACTCCAAAATTGTCTTACAGATTGCAAAAATATAACATTTGTACTTATCAATTGAGATGTCATCTGTAACCTCAGTTAGAAGACTTTAATAGCTGAAGGACCTAGACACCTGAGATACAGGCTCCGGCTTAGTTTTGGCTCCAGTTTCACCACAAACTAAAATATACAAAAAATAATGAAGCCTCCAATAACACCACTGTATGAATAGTGAAACTCCCGTTCCTTTATTTAAATACATTCCAGATTCACTGTTTACCATTACCAATTTCTACCGCCATATCCTACAGATTAGACCAACCCCCTAACTCGACCACATGTCAGCCCACGTGCGTAGTCTCATGTACAAACGAAAACTTTAAACAAACAAACATCGAACTGACTTTTACTCAGCCAGGTCCAGATATCATCTGACATTATTATCTTCATCCCCTTTAATTGGACTCATTGAACATGATACTCTTCTTAGAAACATATTAAAAACACCAGCCTACGGCGGAAATTCTCCATTAAAACTGTATTATACTTTAAAGTCTTGAAATCCAGACTAATTTGTGTTCTAAGATTCCTTTTACAAGTCATTATTTTATACAGCAAATATGCTGTATAAAATAATGACTTGTAATGACAAGATAATGATATTTGCATATAACTTAATGAAGTAATATGGAAATAGATATAACTAGCAGGCCTGGCAAACTTCTTACCGCCAAAAAATATGATTTCTCACCCTTTAAACCTTCCCTGAACTTTCACGAACATTTCAAAACCAAAATTAGCCAAATCGGTTCAACCGTTCTCGAGTTTTGGCGAGACTAACGAACGGAACGTCAATTTTATTTGTATAAATTATACTGAGGGCGTTTTATCACATATTATATGAAAAATACGTAAAATTATAATATCAAGTAACGTAATACATACATAGGTAAAATTATAAGGGCTTCAAAAATACCAAATATTGTTGAAATCCCCTAATCAATATAGCATCTTTCTTATCACTTTCACAACAAGTTAATTCGTTGTTACCCACGTGACTTATCGAATACGATAAAATGTTCACACATTTGTTTTTTTCTTGTGCATTTAACGTTTATAAATAGTGAACTTGGTTGCAGCTGCACGCTCCATTCTAGAGTTGGCTGCACAACGCTTACCGCTTCGATTGTCGCGCAATGCTGCTTGTAAGTATGAGTCCGCAGTGTGTCTCGAAACTAGTCGAGTTACCTCGTTAAATATTTGCGTGAGTAACCCGTAAACATATTTAATTGTAGACACGCAAATCAAGTTTGCAATTCCCATAGTTTTAATAATATACTCTAAATGGCTCGCTAATCACAAACTATCGTTTACTTCTTCTCCTCCTATGGTTAATATTATCCACAGATGGGGCCCAATAGGGCCGATGCCGATTCGGAGTCGCGGAGAACCTAACGGGTAACCGGGGCTCCGGCTCGACGTGCAGGAGAAGGAACGGCGTGGTTTTTAGTCAATAAGAGTCTGACACTCCCTTCCGCCTCACCCAGGTGGGAGCAGTCATTCGATGATTTTTCCCCCTTAAAAAAAATGGTTAATATTATCTTCTGATTTATTTCGTTGCGGGAACCAAGACAGTTATTCATGTTCGTGGGACGCACTAGACTTCAGTTTTCTGGTGTTTTCATGGTTATATCTAATGTAGATCCTGGCTTACAGGAGTTGCAGCGGTTTTGGGAAGTAGCGGCGAGCTTGTCTCACTAAAAAATAGTAATCACATAGTTGCAAGTGCTAGTTCTATGTATATATGGTCGGGTAGTCTAATATAACTTCGAACGCTTCATCAGTATCGACTATCGGCATCATAAAAATTTCTCCAATCAAGGTCTTTCAGGTTAGTAGAAAACGTAGTTTGTGCATGATATAAAATCTACTTAGGTATTGTTTATTATTAAAGTGTCAAACACCAAGCGGTCACCGGTGACCGTGCCCTATTGTTCTTTAATTGTGTCTATAAAACCGGTACTCGACGAGTTAAATGTGTTAAGTTTCGAACCTGAGTCCTCACGATTAGCAATCACTTGATCACAGACGTCGTCAAAATCACCAAAGAATCGAACTAAGGACTAGCCTTACTAGACTACAAGACAATCGATATTATCTTGTGTTAGAACACCGCCATAACATATTGTTCATCATATTAATTAACATTTATTATTCATTTATTAACAATTATTATAATGTGACATATAAATATAGTGATTCTAACTATGCCTTTGTTTACTATAATGCACAAATACTTGCGCTTGCGCATACGCATGTACGCACACAGACACACACACAGTTTTTTCCTGAAACATGCGCGCGAGTGAATCGCCGTTCTTCCGGTCATGCGCAAAGAATATACAATTAGGGGGAAAATTGTGTTTCAGATTGAAGTGACACAAAATTTAAAACAAATAAATGGAGACAGATTAAAAAAGCGTATAAATATTATAGTACCTAAATGCTGTGATAATAAATACATACGTCGAGGGTATTTTTCTACAACGTATGTACATTTGCAATATCAAATAATATCAATGCAAACTTCTTGGCATTGATCAATTTACAGACTATTTGGCTATTAAAAATGTCCTCATTTCAATTTGGATTATAGTTACGGCAATAGAATTTGAAATCTACCTTAAAATTAGTAGGTATATTTTCCAATAACAGGATGTGGTCTGTTTTTTAAAAACAAGCCCTGAAACCGATAGCACAAAATAACGTGACTTGTTCAGTAACGAGTACAGCTCTTTGTCCCAAGTCATCCTATGATACATCGACTATGCCTTAAATTTTATCAATCAAGATATAATCCATTATCCTACATTTATGTACATTGCATTCACAACACGTGAATCAAGATACCTAGAACTTAATTCATGACTAACCGTTTATATTTTTTTAAGGAGGGAAAATCGTCGAATGACTTTTCCCGCCTGGGTGAGGCAGGAGGGAGTGTCAGACTCTTACCGACTAAAAACCATCCCGTTCCTTCTCCTGCACGTCTAGTCGGAGCCCCGGTAACCCGTTAGGTTCTCCGCGACAACCGTTTACATTTGGCTTTGTAATACAGCTATGACAAGATTACTCAAAAATAAATAAATATATATGTATATGTTTCATTTAGGAATGTAATTAAAAGCCGTAATTAGTTAGAAGTAGTTCAATGAATCGAGAAATGTTTTCTATAGTCCAATGTAATCAAGCAATTGTTCCGTTATCAGGACTAATTAAAACAATGTTATCAGCATCAGAGTATCACAGTACGCGAACCAGTCAGCTGTCCCTTCTTTGTTCCTTGCTCTATGACCGGCGCCGGCGCATTTTATAAAGCAACAAAGGTCGAGCACAACAGCTCATCCGTTCAGTCCGGTCAGTCTGTTGCGGTCGTGCGAGTCGAACACACGTTAGCGCGCGATTTTATTACAAATAAATTAATTTAAAATGTTGTTCTTCGTATTATTAACAGTGTTTGCTGCCAGTGCTAACGCCAAGTTCGTCAAGGACTGTGGTAATTATTTATTTTCCTTATATTTTCTTTGTAAAACATGTTATTTCCTTACGTTATCTGATACAGGCGTTTTACGCTTTATTAGTAAATTGCGTGTATTGTATGCGGCTGATTTAAGATGTTAGTGTAGCGAAATATGTTGTAATGTTATCGAGGTATTACATATTGCATTTATTTTGAAAAATATGAAAAAAATTCATAATTAGGTAATGTGTCTTAATCTACAATTACACAGAACTATTATTGTCATCCCCTTCAATCGTTCTACAAATATTGCAACTCATTGTAGGTATGGATCACGTTGGAGTCCTGATAAAAAGCAGCATATTGTCTGGTCCACCTTCTCAACTGATGACAGTAACATTTTATTATCTCACTACCCACACAAGTTTGCATTACTACTTGGATATTTCCAGCCGTTCTAGCTGGTTGATGTTAAAAAATAATTTATTTCATGTATAAATAACACAATAGGAATATGTCAAGTAAATTGAATAAATAATAGTTTAATCATATGGCAATAGCACAAATTCATGGATACAGTATATTACACATATTATATTATAACTAGCGTCTACCTGCGGCTTCGTCCACGTTCAATTGGCATAAAAAGGGCCTATGTGTCATTCCATTCCACTTATAATCTACCTCTAGCCATCAGACCACCACGGATGGAGCCCAAAAGGGCTGACTCCTATACGGTACTGCAGAGAACTTAACGGGTTGGCGGGGCTCCGGCTCGAAGTGTAGGAGTAGGAACGGGGTGGTTTTTAGTCAGTAAGAGTCTGACACTCCCTCCCGCCTCACCCAGGCGGGCGAAGTCATTGAATGATTTCCCCCGTCAAAAAAAAACTTAATAACTTAACTTAATTTTCACTTTCCTACGATTTTATTATTAATGTATAGATGCGAAAGATGGTGAGTTTGTGTGTCAAAGTCAAAGTTATAGTCAAAGTCAAAATCATTTATTTCAATTAGACCAGGAAGGTACTTTTTAACGTCAAAACAATATATTTAAATAATAAGAAAAAATGTCAATCTGTAGGTCAGTCCTCTAGTGAAGCTATTTGCTTGTTCCAAAGTGTAGATCCCTATGGAGAAGAACGAGCAAGACACACACAAGACAGGGTGTTTTTTACTCAATGACGTCAAAATGACTGAAGTGACCAGGTTCAAATTTAGAATAGAGATAGATAAGGTCGGAAATAACACATAGGCTACTGATTATCCCGCGGCAATACGGGCGAAGCTGCGAGCAGAAGCTACATATAAATAAATAAATACACAACATATATATCTCAGACTATAATAACAACATTTAACAAACCGTTTTGTCATGAAACGGACCTAACTACAGAGCAGGTACAATCAACTACACATAATATATAACCAATATAAATTGATCTTTCAATTTGTAGAAGGATCACACAAACCCAGACCATGATAAATTGGTACTGTATAGCTATATATGGACCAAGATGTCATTATTATGTAAACATAATTACTACAATAGGATTTAATGTGTAGTCATCACAAATAACAACATAAATATACACAGCATCCGTATCTATGTGTAATAACATAATATTATTATAAACATTTATAATTACATGCATCATTACGCGACTCGTATGAGGGGCTAAGCTGTTTAGCTTATAGTCATCACGCCTTTTTCCTCGAAAGGGTAGGCAGAGATGCACTTTACAGCACTTAATGCCACTGTATAAAGTAACACCCACTTTTCACTATTTATGTTATGAGTCCCATGTAATAGGGGGTGAGCGTATTGCCATATCCCGGGGACTATTCTAGAGTTCGTTCTAAACTACTGAGAATTAAAAAAAACTCAGTAATACTTTACGCGACCCGGGAATCGAACCCGAGACCCCTTGCCCGGCAGTTGCACTTACAACCACTTGGTTAACGAGGCAGGCTTATATTTACTGTTTCGATCAATATTAACTCGTCGAGTACCGGTTTTATAGACACAATTAAAGAACAATAGGTCGCGGTCACCGGTGACCGCTTGGTGTTTGACAGTTTAAGATGCTATGTCTCTAGTCCAGAACAATGAAAGTGTTACTACACTTGTGACCAAGGAATCGAAGCGAAGAATTGAACCCTCTATGTCTTTAAAAAATATTTTCCTTTTACAACAAAAAGAATGAAAAAATCTCTATTTCACGCTAAAAAACCAAGATAAGTCATTTCATTGTATTAGTAGGTACTGATGGATACATGTTCATGTCCCAAGTCTGCCGTGAAATAGGACCAGCTCAGCATGTGCAAGAGACGGGCCTTGCTGGTATTCTACTAATCCCTTAAATAACTCGCTAATGAACAAGCCACCAAGTAAATGCAAATAGGAAAAACGTTCTTGGCTCGGTTTATTTGCTCCCAAGTGTATTTTTTAGGTTCTATAAAGCTCAGACCAAATCATAAAAAAGAATCTTACTTACCATCAGGTGATCCGTCCGCTCGTTTACCGATTTATTCCATAAAAAAACTCAGAACGAAGAGTTATATACAGATTAAATATGAATTTTCAAGTAGTGACAAACATCATCAACACCCCGTGCTTCCTCTGCTGGTTTAAGGGCCAGCAGTTTGCCATAATATTTAGAATCAGAATGAGCCAAATCAGTCTCTCAAGCAGTGTATACACTGCACTGGTAATCAATCACACTATCACAAGTATACACTTATAAGTGTGAAGGTTTCTTTGTTTGGATGTTTGGATGTTTGACCGTCAATCACGCTGAAAGTACTAAACAGATTTTGATAATGTTTTGGTACACAGACAGGTTATGGGTTGAGTTAGGTGATAGGACTTTTTATCCCGATTATATGCTCCCATGGGATAAAACAGGAAACATATTCTACGCGGACGAATTCGCGGAGAACAGCTAGCTAATCATAAAATAAATTAAAAAGTACTTCATAAAGTGGGTAGATAGAAAAATTCAATGTAATATAATGTCATGGTTTACAAAAACAAACATAATGTCCAGATAACCTTTAGATACCACCACCCACGAATTAATAAATAAATACGCAATTTTTATGTCCATTGTACGTCACGTGGCACGACCTACATAAGTACCTATTATAATTTGACATTAGTAAATAATCAAGTTTCACACAGTACTTACAACAATAAATATTATTAATGCTTTCTTATCAGGGAGTAGCAGTTCATTGTTCTTAAATCAGCAAAGTTATCACCTTTGAACCATTTTCATTTGAAAATCATGCATAATACAAGGTGTAGTTTTGAAGCCGTGTCATTTCTCGGGGGCTTGTCACAGAAGTCATAAAGGTTCAATGTAAGAGATATTTTAAAATGAAATTTTTTTATTGATTCGGACTCAGAATCGATAGCCGAGTTACCTCCTAGAAAATGACGTGGCTATACAACTACACCTTGTATGTAATCATTGATGCAAGCCAGGTACACACACTGCTGAGTTTAGGTCTCCAATCTTTTTTACCACTAGCTTCTGCCACCGTTCACCTTCAGCCAGCCTGCCAGCTTCACCTGCGTTGCCACTGGATAAATGGATAAATATCCAACCACTATGTGTTATTCACAACCATAATCTAGCACAGTTCCAAATTTCACCCCGATCCCTTCAGCCATATTGACATTATTGAGTAACAAACATACAACAGAAATTCTGTGAGTTTTTAGAGAGAGAGAGAGAGAGAGAGAGAGAGAGATATTTGTAATGTTTCGTCTCGGTTTAGTACATCTTTACTACCCAACCCATTTTGGACGACTACAATTTCTTTTACTAATTATCGGCCACCATACGGTTAAAGTCTTCTAGCCAGATATCCTGCCAAAATTATCTTGAGGCGTATGGCCCTCTCCTCACTTCCCTAAGGACAGAGATGACTGATGTCCACAATCCACATCCAATTTCACCATCATCAACTATCGAAAAGTTAGAATATGCTGCTGACTATCCGTTTATTCCGAGTAGGGTTCAAACCCGCTAGCAGCCAGCCACTACATCAACTATACCGTCACATTTTTCCACATATTTCATCATTTTCACGCCTGTGTCACGGCTGACGGTAACAATTTCAATAGAAATAAACGCTTTGATTGAAAATTCTTGAAATAATAGGTACAGTAAATTTGTACAGCTACACAGCTTAGGACTGTACACGACACATGATTTCAGAATGTTTCATGGAGTGCTAGCTGTCACCTGCAGCTTCCTTTACCTTCGGCTACATAATCAAGGGAGAAAAACTAGAGTACAATTACTTTCTAACCTCCTAAAGGACGGGAGCTAAAAAAAGGAGCTAATCTCCTAAAGCCTAAAGAAAGCGGGAGCAGACATTCGATGATTTCCCCCCTTAAAAAAAAAACCTCCTAAAGTACTAGGTACAGCGTGTCGCGATACGGAGCCGCGCAAGACTTAACGTGCTGCCGGGGCTCCGGCTCGAAGTGCAGGAGTGTAGGAATGGGGTGGTTTTTAGTCAGTAAGAGTATGACACTCCCTCTCGCCCCACCCGGGCGGGAGAAGTCATTGGATGATTTTCCCCCGTCAAAAAAAACTTAAAGAACTATCTTCAATGCAAACACAAAAAAAAAATTAAAATACAAACTAAACTCATATTTATTCCATAACTTACATTAAATATTATAACGAACTTGTTAGTGCTACTAGTCCGTCTAGACAAAGTTCGTCCTATCCTACATGTAGGTATAATTACATAAACATTAAACATCACTCATTGTTTACGCTCCAACGCCCATTCATACTTACCAACCACCTACCTTCTGTTACGTAGCGTCTTGCTCATTGCAACATTTCATTAGAATTTCACTCCCAACTTCACCCGAGTCAATACAGTACCGGTTTTTTTTTCTTCTTTAATGGCGATCGAGTCTCCAATTCAATGTTGTCGACTATACTGCCAGTGTCGGGTAATCAGTGCCTTATTTCTTTATCTTACAATTTCCATTTCATTGTCTATTTCAGTTCTAGGTATGTCCAGTTCATAATGTTTCGAGATTCGAGATTAAATCGGCTCACATTATTTTACTAATGTCATAGTAAATTAAAGCCCTTTATCCGGGCCGGGCAAGGGGTCTCGGGTTCGATTCCCGGGTCGGGCAAAGTATTACTGGGTTTTTAAAAATCTCAATAGTAGCACGGAGTCTGGAAATGTGCCCGGTATATAGCAATAGGCTTACCCCCTATTACATGGGACTCATAACATAAAAAGTGAAAAGTGGGTGTTACATTGTATAGTGGCATTAAGTACCGTAATGTGCACCTCTGCCTACCCCTTCGGGAATAAAAGGCGTGGTGTTATGTCAAATGTATGTGATCTATACACTCTGTTATATTTCAATTTGCATCTGTCATGGATATTATGATATGAGTGTCATATTTAAGTGCCCAACAACCTTTCATCGATAAACATTCAGTAATTTGTACATGAAAGTACAAAACAGGACGTCTCACATTAAAACTACGTTCATCTAGATCTTGATAAGTTTTCGTGTTTATAAACTAGCGGTACCCATACGAAATGCTTATACCATACATGTAGTGGATGTAGTAAAACAATGCCTCGTTACCTTCTACTTCATGAAAGTGAGTAACATTTCATTGAATTAACGGAATCAATCGCTTACGTTGACGCACACAGATGCAACTACACGTAAGAAAAGTTAGATCGGCGTGTTCTATGTATGATATGATATTCACACTACACTACATATGATTGTATGTATTCTAGAGCAGCCATACTCAGCCTTTTTTCATCATCAACATCCGGAAGACGTCTACTGCTGGATAAAGGCCTCCCCCTTAGTCCTCCACGTCGTTCCTCTTTTACCAGCTAGTAAGATGTCAATATCGAAGTGAGCTCGATCTCACTCTCGCATGTCATTAGTGATTATATTCACAACCTATGACATGGTGGACCGTCACATTACTAGCTAAATTGTTTTCTTTTAGCTTCGAACACCGAACTATTCGAAATTTAAAATATGTAGAACGGAGCATAGATACTTCAGGTGGGCCAAACAAAATGGCCCGGCCTCAGATTAAGTATAGCTGGTTATTCAATGACTCCTATAGAAATTAAAAATAATTAAATCACTCATTAAATGAATACATAATGATTTAGAAAAACTACGTCAACAGTTACATGACACACAAGAGCTTTCACTCTGAAATCCGAAGTATCATTAGGTCTAAATACAACTAGGTCATTTGCAAATAACCTAACCATAATTTGAAATAACAATACTTACCTACAACAAAATGTAACATTTATCCTATTTACTAAACACTGCTTAACTTCGCAATTACAATGAAAACACAAAATCATGATATAAAATAATAATAACTACATTATGACAAACAGGCCATTAGCTTTTTTGCGGACAAATATAATAATATCGTAAAGGCTTATCATAATGTTTGTTTAATAGTAGCTGCGAATTTAAACGGCTATCTGACTATTGGTTGGTTGGATTATAATGACGAGTGATTATGATAGCATCATAGTGACACACTTGCTGACTAATTGTAACGTGTCATAGCTAAATAAACTTACACTTATACATATACTGACACTAGCTTTTGCCCACGGTTTCGGCCGCGTTTATGTAGTAAAAAAATTGTCTATGTTATTTCAGGCTAGAAATTTTCCCTTTTTTATGGCATAAGCCGGTAAACGAAAAAACGGATCACTTGATAGTAAGCAATCGGCGTCGGCCATGGACACCTGAAACACCAGAGGCGTTACAAGTGCGTTACCGGCGTTTTGAGGATTCAGGAATTGGGGAAGGGGATGGTAATTGGGGCCTCCGGTAACCTCACTCACACGATGAAACACAACGCAAACGTTGTTTCACGTCGGTTTTCTGTGAGGCCGTGGTATCACTCCGGTCGAGCCGGCCGATTCGTGCCGAAGCATGGCTCTCCCACACTTTCCCATTCCCTGTTCCAAACACCCCTATCCGAACCCTTCAGTCGTTTTGACGTGATTGAGTAACAAACATTTCGCATTTACAATTATTAATATTCTTAAGATGATATAGGTACAATAAGTAATATTCATAAATAAAATATAAAAAGACAATAAAGGTGTGACAGTGCAAGTAAAAAAACATTAACTTAACTAATTAAAACAGAAGAATTAGAAGAGAGACGCTGACAACATGCCTATGCTAAAAGGGTCACCGACTCAGTGTAAGTCAGGCATACAAATCACCCAGCTCTGATTTTCATTGAGCACCCCTTGAATACTGGCAGACGCCAGTAAGATTAAGAATGAATGAAGTCATTCTCACTTCCGAATATTCTATCAGTCAACTCGAATCAACACAATGGTTAATGGGATATCAATGAGACTTTACAAATGTTTATAATAGATAAAAATTAAATCCCTAAACTTTTTTCTCACTCGGACTTAGGTAGCTACCTTGCTATTTCAGCTTTTGCAAATTAGGGATCTGAAAATCCCACGGCAGATTTTTTAACAATCATCTCGCCTATTAAATGTTTAAACGAAAACACGAAAGATTTATTATATCTAAACCGAAACAGAGGACATGTCGCTGTCTTTCTTAATTTTCCTAAGAGATGCGACGCTACCTCAGCGCCAGTTTTCCTCACAAAACCTTATTAACTCTCATTTACTCCAATTACCTGCGTGACGTCAAACACCCGCTATTTCTGGAAAATTTTAAGTACGTGAATGGATGCTACTTATTCTATTATTGTTGCCCTAACTTAGACTTAAACCTACCTACCGATGTCGCGGAGAACCTAACGGGTAACCGGGGCTCCGGCTCGACGTGCAGGAGAAGGAACGGGGGGGTTTTTAGTCAGTAAGTGTCTGACACTCCCTCTCGCCTCACCCAGGCGGGAGCTGTCAGTCGATGATTTTCCCCCCTTAAAAAAAACCTACCTACCGATTCACTAGGTTATCTGAAACATTCTGAATCAATTCATCACCAATCTCTACATTTCTTTAAGAGAAATTACCCATAATTTGTCCTAAGATACGGATTACAAAAATGTTATTATTAATTGTACAAAATTGGCTAACACATCTACTGCTACACAAGAAATATAGTAAGTAAGCACAGTACATACTTAAGTACACATACCTAATTATCTAGACAATGTCAATACGTATTTATCTATACTTATAATAAATCTGTAGAGAGGTCAATTCTGTACATAAAATATATTTAAAAAATAACTATCAAGGGGTGGTTAGGGATCGCTACTGATGCCAAAAATGCAATCAGTCAAATTTTTGTCTGTCTGTCTGTCTGTCTGTATGTTCGTTATGGAAATAAAAACTACTCGATGGATTTTAACGAAATTTGGCACAATTATTCTTCATATTCTTGGGCAGGTTATAGTATACTTTTTATTACGCTACGATCAATAGGAGCAGAGCAGTGAAGGGAAATATTGGGAAAACGGGAGAAGTTACTCCATTTTTTAAGCTTCCGTCGCGTGTGCAGGCTTATAGGTTAAACCTGCATAGAAATCATGTATGACGGAAATATTCTCCTTAAAATTATATAAAAAATATTCCTCGACAGCATATGTCTATCTTTTATGGTTGACTCACAATAACACGTGAAACTCCCGACAGCTTAGCAATTCGGTGATTTCTGATTGTATTTGTCTACTCTAACGTTTACAATACTGATTCATAGACTTTACGCTGTAACTGAAAGGCCAATGATTGAAATTAGCTTGACTCGATATTAAAAATGAAAATATGTGAGTTTGTGTGTATGTTTGTTACTCAGTCATATTAAAACTACTGAAGGGACCGGAATGAAATTCGGAACAGAGGTAGATTATGGTCTGAAGTGATACATAGGCATTTTACCGCTGAGATCGCGGGAGAAGCCGCTGGCAGAAGCTAGTGTAAAATAAAAAACTGTGTTATCAAAAAATGTAGCTGCTTATTTACGATTAACACCGTAGGCATATATTTAAAACTATGTAAGTAAAAAAACGTCCTAGACATACTAGGCTAGACATACATCCTAGACATACCTTCACCGTGTTCTACAATTTGTAATAGAATTTTTAGTTATGAATTCCACTCGGTATACAAAATAATAACGTTTTGTTACGCAGATCTGCTAATTGAAAAGCATAATTAATGAGTAACACGCGATATAAAATGATTTAATTAAATCACATTACATAGGAGGGTATCGTATTTTACAGTTATGGCGAACTAACTTCTGAGAGCGGTTTCGCCCGCGTTCCCAGGAAAAAAGTAGCCTATGAATACAAAGACCATAAGATTATGGTCCTTACAGCCGTTTTGATATGACTATATAACAAATATTCACACAAACTCACATATTTCAAGCTAATATTGGTTCAAGCTGATTGTAGTATCAGTACCCAGTGTTGTGCCCAGGACATTAAAGTATAATTTGGTTTAATATTACAATTATTGTAGGTACTTCAGAAGGTATTATTCAGTCTATTTATACCTCTATTACATAAGGAGTCCTCAAATGCAGAGATTATCAATCCCTCGTATGTCTGAATGACCATCTAAGGGTTTATATAATGTTTCTTAGTTTTAATGAAACACATTTACCTTCTTAAATTAAGTGTTTACTTTATTCAGGTTCAGCACAGGCGTCGGTACAGAGCGTGCAGGTGAGCGGCTGCACGGAAGCCGCCAAAGAATGCATACTCAAGAGGAACACCAACGCCACCTTCAGTATAGAGTTCACACCAAGTGAGTATCTGACAAATTGACAAGTACCTCACACAGTGCCCTATGTTTTGGAGCCTTATTGTAAAATCATCGGATGAGCCCCGTCCCTCAATATATAAAAGAGAAGTTCTAAAACAGTATCAAGCGAGTTAAGCGTTCTGATTGGTTGGTTCACTTTAGCCGGCCAATCAGAGCGCCGAATGCGCTCGATACTATTACGTTACGAATGCGATAGTTATCCGTGCTTGACACTCAGATGAGAACTTCTGAATGACGACTCCTTTCTTCTCCTCTTATAATATCTTCTGATTCACTTCGTTGCGGAAACCAAGACAGTTACTCATGTCCCTGAGACGCCCCGGACTTCAGTGTTCCGGTGTTTTCATGGTTGTATCTACTGTAGATCCTGGCTTACAGAAGTTGCAGCGGTTTTGGGAGGTTGTGGCGGGCTTATCCCAATAAAAAAAAAGTATAGGTACCTACAGTGACCCTCGAAGTATCAAAGTGAACAAGCGAACTTGGAGAGAATCACTCACAATCTTTTTAACTTTAAATTCTTAACATTCGCCTACCAAAGATACTGTAAGTTTTAACATAAAAATGGATACCCATAGCATTTTGCCACTTTTTCTACGTGGTTACTCCGGGACTATAGTGTTCATGTACCGTGTCAGTTAATGTATGACTTAACTGATAAATTGTGGGTGTTACATTTACCCAATAGGAATTATTAACCCTTCAGGGAATACAAGACATTGATATTATGTTGTATTAGACTATTTTTATTGTGGGTATCTACTGAAAATTCCTAATTACAAATATTTATTACTCACTTTGGTATTGTGTCATCATAAAATTGCTCATAGTTATATTTGCCTAAAATTGGATTTTACTTAGGTAATTAATTGTGGTTAATTTATTGAAAATATTGATGAAAAACTATTGTTTATGCGGTAAACTATTAAAGACTACAAAATAATTTTCCTGTTTTTCATTAAGTGATACAAGTAGGCACTTGTATGTAATGTAACAATAATATATTGTGACGCACATAATAGAAACTAAACATTATTTTGTATTTAATATTAAAATTGGGGTACATGGATAATGTTTAGTTTCTCATGGGGATATTAGGAATAAACGAAACAATTTATTTATTCTTCCTTATACATAGGGTGGACTACTAAACAAAGAGTCTGGGTTCGATCATAGAATGGGGATGATGACAGGGTATGAAAATTAAAAATATAATTAGTACGTAAGTTAGGTAATGAAAAAATATTAGACACGTATTTTTTTTATTTTGTCGTATAATAAAACAATACTTAGATAAAACGAATCAAAGTTTAGGAGTGGGGGCTAAAACGTCATTTCTTAGTATAAAATGTACTGAGAAGTGACGTCACGCGACATTTCAAATCAATATATCTTCGAAACTATTCGTTTCTGTGAGAAAATAAAAAATACGTGACTAATGTTTTTAAATAATCTATCAGACGGACATTAAAAAAAAAATAGTCGTCTACCCTATTGAGTAGTATTTTGGTAAATCGTAATTAGTTTGGTTTTTAAATGTAGCCTATTAAACAAGCGTGTCCTAAGAGACACATAGTGTAGTGTGGGCTTGCAAAAACCTCTTGGGACTCACTAATAGTTCGCCCATAAACCTTATGGCACTCTAATTTTACTTAATCACTATAAACTTACCCAAAAATATAGTTTCCAAGTACTTAAGTGTTGTTAGTGTGAAAAACAAACAGTAGTCAGCCCCTCCCCCTTTAGTGATATGGCGACATGTCCGTATTCCTCTAAGGGGATACTTACCTAAGTAGAAGGAGTTAGTACACCCACTCGTTACCGTTTTGATATAGTCCCTTGCGGCAAGCCGGTGGGCACTATAATCTAGACTCCTTGAAAGCATTGAGGTACTAAATCAAATGGGAAATTCTTGTTTAACTCAAGTTGGTATAAACATAAATAGTGCAAAGCCACCAGAAAAACAAATTGACTCAAATTATCAGTAGGTTTTGTCTTTGCATTCGACTAATGGGTCAGGTAGGTCTAGGTCAGTAGGGTTGTCCGAACCGGAGCTGCGGACAATTGAACGGGTTACCGGGGCTAAGGCTCGAAGCAGGATTTAGCTGCTTAGATTCTTACTGACTAAAATCATTTTAGTTAGTAAAAGTCTGACACTACCTCCCTCCTCACTCATGGCGGGAGCGAGCATTGAATGATTTACCCAACTAAGTTAGGGTTACAATAACACTAGCGTGACAACTAAAATGTGGATTTAATTTAATAACAAATAAATAGTAAAGCTTTGTATTCTACATGTAATTATACAACTTTAACCTTTGATATTTCCAGTGTCTAGTGTGACAGAGGTTCAGGCAATAGTTCATGGAGTGATCATGAACCTCCCGGTACCGTTCCCTCTGCCCCAACCTGACGCGTGCAAGGACAATGGACTCACCTGCCCTCTACCGGTAAGATCTTTAAACCTTGCGTATATTATTTCTTGTAAGTCAGCTATTAAAATACCTACCTACGAAAAATAAATTTACAATTAAATCAAGTACCTACCTACTGTGATTTAAAGAAACTCGAATAGATTTAGTAGTGAAACGATTTATTTTTATCTGAGGAATCATATCTTTTGGATTAAGTTATCTTTTATTTGACTTTGTAATTAGAAAGCCGTTATTTGTAAGATTTTTAAATATCTATTGTTATTTTCGCAGGCTGGTAAACCAGTGAAATACCAGACTACGATGCCTATCCTCAAGTCATACCCTAAGGTCAAGGTCGACGTGAAATGGGAGCTTAAGGACGAAAACAGTGAAGATCTCGTATGCGTCATGATTGCTGCAAGGTTACAATAATGAACAAACCAAATAAATAGCTGCATCCCGATTCCAGAAAAATAAACAAAATGCGCCTTAAAATCTGTATTTTTGCGTCAAATCTAATGCAACTATCTCAGCTGAGCTGATCGATTTTGTGATTTGACCAATTACAGAAAAAAAAGAAAATGTAAGATATCTGTCAAAATGAAAATAAAAAATGGCGGACAATTATTATTTGTCACAGATATAGATACAAATGTCGTTGAAGGAATCGAGTGTGTGCGTAAATACTTAATTTCAATTTACCTATTTATGCATTCCACAAAAAATATAAGTTTTATTAATTTTCGAATAAGCTAATCTACTATCAAATTATTCGAATTTGTTCAAGCCTATTTTATTACATCAATTAAATATTATTTGCTAAATAGATTATCTACCAACTGTATTTACTTATGTATAGCTCCAATAAATATTTAAGTACCTTTTTTCTACTATATGAAAGTGAGGCTAATTGCTAAAGGCTGCGTTGAATGACAAATATTTTTATTTAGATAAGTATAAGTTGAAAAAAATTTTGCTCTCTGAATTTCAATGAATGTTTTACAAAATATGAAATATGTATAAAATTATGTGACAAGTGTTTAACTACGAGGCTATTGTTGCTTCGTCACAAGCAGAAGCTTGTAGAAAACTGGTAAAAAGCTCGAGTTCTGTCTACTGAATGTAAGAAACTACCTTAATTTATAATGAAAATGTTTTACATTAAACATAGGTTTAGGATTGTGGTTTTGTACATTATAATAATTATTAATTAGCGTGCGTGTTTTATTACAAATTCCTTAACCGCTTGAATGCCTGTATTTGAGACAGAATAGAAAATACCTTGTGCCTCGCGTGGATCCACGTTTAGATACACGACAGGTTAATGAAGACTTGCTTTTTACTCTAGATATCACAAATGCAGTGCCATCCAATTACGTCCTTCTCATTTTCAGTTTTCAGTGTAAAGGTACTTGAGTTAACCCTGAGCGCATTATTTTTTATGGAATATAAACGAGCGAACGTATTACCTGATGGTAAGCAACTATAGACGCCGCTTATGGACTCCCAAAACACCAAAGGCGTTACAAGTGCGTTACCGACTTTTTGGGGATTGAGAATTGAAGGACTGTTGGGGATTCGGAGATTGGGGAGGCAGGAGAGAGGAGGGAACGGATAATTGGGTCCCCGGTAACCTCACTCACACGACGGTTTTCTTTGATGCCGTGGTATCACTCCGGTCGCCGACACATTCGAAACATGGCTCTCTCACGCATTATGGAAAGACTGGAATATTAATAATAATTTTATGGTATCCTTATACAAGGCCCATGTCAATAAAAGAAGGAAAATTGAAAGAGAAAACTAGCAACAAATCGTTAGAGATGTTAACTACCTATTATACATTATTCTGTTTATTACTTTCCATGAAATAAAAAGGAAACTATAAACGTACTTCATAGCAACCTTTATTATTAGGTACTTACAATTACAAAAATACATTTTACTGCGTAGGTGGTACACATAGTAGTAAGTACAAAACGTTGATAAAATCAGTCGAATATTTGACTACCAACTAAAAACTAAACTGACTAAAACGTACGTACCAGTTTCTTCGTTGATCGGCCGGTTGACTTTAGAATAGGGATGATAAAAGGGTATGAAAATCAAAAATCGAATTAGTCCGTCAATTAAGTAATAAAAAAATATTAGACACGTACTTATATTTTTATTTTGTTGTAATTATAATAAAATGATACCTAGATATAACGAATCAAAGTTTAGGAATGGCGGCTAAAACGTCATTTCTACGTATAAAATATACATAGATGTGACGTCACGCGACATTTCAAATCAATAAATCGTCAAAAGAATTCGTTTCAGTAAAAAAATAAAAGATACGTGTGTAATGTTTTAAAATAATCTACCACACGGACATTAAAATAAAAATTAGTCATCTACCCTATTTCAGAAAAGGGCCAATAAAATATCTCCTTTGGCAGATTGTAGTAGGTTTATCTGTGGGCCATTGTACAGAAATACAGAAGGCATTAAAAGCCAGTGATTGTACGCAAGGTGAATCCGAAATCACAGCCCTTCTGACCGCCAGTCATCGACCCACACGTATTGAAACAACATGTCCTACTAATTGCGTCATTAAGACACTAAAATGTCACATTTATTTAAATATAATTGATCGTTAAAATGATATATTGATTGACGTACTTTTCGATTCGATATTAATTTGGCAAGTGACGAAAATTATTTCCATTGAGTTCTGCGATGAGTTATGGAATGCGTAAAAGGAAGGTTTATACTTTTGAAGCCCTATAAAGGGGTAGGCTGTGTCCTTGGTGTACAGCTGTACACGTACTTTTTGTTAGTCACATTTATCATCCTGTTTATGATAAAGAACAAATGTAGTTAGGGTTTTGACTGCCAATAGACTGTTGAAGACAAATCCTCCGCTAACGTCGGAAACCTGTTTTCTTCTCTCCATCTTTTCGTATTTCAATCAAGAACTCGTTCAAGGAGAAACAAGCAGAAAACGATTCAGCTTCCTTCTATTTTGCAAGTGCCAATCTTACATTTTCCAAGTTTACGGTCGTGTTTGTCAATGTAATTTCTCAACATTATACAGATGCCGATTTCATACGTAGCATAGGCTAGACAAGGTAGAATCAGATCGTACCACGTCTTTAGTTACCTGAGCTCCCATGCTCAGTAACCTTCGTGCGTGAATATATCACAGATGACATCATTCAATTCCTTTTCAAGAGATGCATTGCAGTTCCCTCATTTCTTCTTGATAGTACTTTTACATCGGCCACACAAAGCCTGTTCAGTCTTAACTTTCCTAAAATGTAAGTTGTATTCCTGTCTGAATATCTTTCTGTACATGGATTCTTTAACAGGCACTATGTTCTCCTTGTTGCAATCGCTGAAATACATGTTGTACATGTGTTTTATACTCAAACTTGGATCAAGATACTGTTTCTTCGTTGAAAATTGTACCACAGGCTTCGACTCCATGGTTGTAAATGATTGTATGTGTTTTCTCACTCTGTCTTTAATTTCTGATGGCAGCGAATGACAACTGGCCTTAGAGTGCCCTCTACCATCTGGTTTCGGTATGTTTAAATCCGTTTTTCCCATATGAACATTATAAACTGGCTTCTGAGATATAGATAGGGTACCCAAATAGAAGTTCTTGCAAACGGTATGTCTCTCGGACTTCACATTAAAGAAATATTTAAATGTATACTTTCTCTTATTGTTGGTGATTACTTTATTATTTTTAATGCATGTCCTTTCAGTTGTATGTAACAGAAAATACTTCTTTTCATTAGCATTCAGTGTGTAAAATGCTTTGAAAATATGTTCTCTGTCATTATCTGATATTTTCTCATTACATTTAAACTTGCAGTTTTTAACACAGTCCTTAGTGTTTCGTATGTGTCTCTCTGGCACAAACTTGCCTCGCCTATTGATGTAGGCCTCTCCGCGTTGGTGTTTTGTCTTCCTTATGTTGCATGCCCAGGATGTCGGATCAGGTATTTGACTTCGAGACCTCTTCTTAGGTGGTTCAGGTACCATTTGAGTTGTGTCGGTGTCACATCTGTAAAATCAAAGCAATTGCAATTAAAAATGTGCACAGTTAAATACGTATTTGTTTTAATTTTATTCTTTACATCTGCAACTTATTTTTCACAATAAAACAAGAACAAAACCAATACTTAAAAAAATTCTAATTGGAAGTTTGATTTATGAATCATACCTACTTATATCAGTTTTATTCTAACATAAACAAAATTTAGGAAAAAGAACTTACTCAACATCCTTATCTGCTATCTGCATATCAGGCTCAAGTTTAGTAAGTAGACACTCCTTAGGATACTCATACTGCCGATAATATGAGTGTACTCCAGCCAGCATGTGCTGCGGTACAATCATGTGGGATGCAATTTGAAGAGACTGGGACATGTCTGAGGTCTGTACAACTTGGGACTGTCCATGCAGGACTTGTGACTGTCCCGGTAGAGGTGGTAGACTCTGCAGTCCTTGTTGACATGACATCACTATCTGATTCTGTGACATTTGTATCTGACTTTGTATCTCGGTGACATGTTGAGATGTTACTGGTATGTGAATGGATTCTGATGTTATTGTTTGCTGGTATGTAACCTTGCCTTGAGATGTGGGTAGTGTTGGGTGAGATATGTGAATGATCTGAGGATTCTGCATTTTGCTGTTGGTAACTGAGGGCTGGTAGACTTGTACCAGGTGCGGTATGGAAGGAGGTTGTAGCTGCTCCATCTTGTTAGCTGAAATGTATAGTAGGTACAAATTAATAACTAATAAAGTTCATGACTTTTGGTGATGTACTCTTTTACAAGTATTTTAATAATATAATGGTTAATTCGTTAAAAAAATGTATTTAACAAGTACAAAGATACATGCTTTACAGTACATAAAATAAAACTTAACTGAATGTCGAGAAAGTGCTAAAGTAAACTGATTTTTAAATTGATATTTTTATGAACATAAATATTCCACTGTTTTTAAATTAAAATACCAAGCTACTTACTCGTTCTATGCGAAACAAACACACGCTTACAACAAAAGTATAACAAACAAATAAATAATGGCAAATTCAGAAAACTTTTGTTGATTTTTCAAAACATATTTATAATAGTTTTTAAGTTTTCAGTGAGTGTGGCATAGTTCCATCTTATTGGAAGTAAACACAACATGGATGAATTCATTGACCTGCGATACATTACAATAAACTTTCGTACAAGGATCGAAACGTTCCGCATCTGACAGCTGCTATCTCGTTCTTTCTTCAATACAGTAACAAGGGTAAAACCTCAGAAATGCTAAGATTTTGATTATTATAGAAGTGGAACGCAAAAATCTTTCGTTGTGGCCTAGTGATGCCCACAAAATAAAAAAACCGTAAAAGCTATTACGGTTTTTATTAAACAAAATATTTTTTATTTCAAGATTCAAAAATTACACATATCTCTCGATTTTCTGGCTAAATTACGAGGGTAAAATTAATTGATGTTTTTTATGTGAGTAAGATTTCCATGATCTGTTTATTCTTAAGGTAATTAGGTATACGTTGCATAAACTCGCGAATCGTGCAAATGAGGTCACATCAGTCAAATAAATTACTTATAAGTACTTTAAATATTCATCTATAGTATGGCTTACGGGTAGGACACGTGCTTTTAAAACAAAATCTTATTACTCCACGACATTTGTGACTCAATCAAACAGGAAGGACCATTTTTGTATAACTACCTACATGAAATCCAACTCTAAATACGTCTGTGATCATCACTCACACACATCCATGTCCAACTAAATAAATGAAAATCGTACCTTGATCTCAATATCGCGTTCACAATAGAATGTGGTCGACATTTTCAATACACAACAAAATTGATAATCATGAGTTAATTAATAACCAGTTATATTATATTTTCTATCTCAAAAGGCATAACGAAGTATGAGCGGAACAACAACAATTCAATTTAATTGTAGTACGAATACATATTTGGTTTGTAATAATTATCAATACAATACACAATAAATAATAAAAATGGATGAGGATTCCCCTAAATATTTTCATGTGTTGCCGTAGTTCTAGTTACGGTTATAGGTTTTATTTAATTTAAATATATATTTTTACATAATTCGGTACTGTCGACCACAAAGTATCGATATTTTAAAGAGGTTTATGTAATAAAATAGACATCTTATTGTTAACAGAATTTATTACAATTTTATACAATTTATTAATATAATTATAAAAAAATTATATAATTTACAAAGAAAATAGTTTAACAAAATGGTCTAACAAATAAGAATAAAATATTACGAAAATACACGCACTATCCTCATTTATCGACATTTAAGCATTTGTTTAAGTATCTCATGATGCTATCTTTCGACTTCATTATGTACTTAAATCAGTGGCAAAAAGTCGTTTGTGCCAAATTTCCTTTATTTTAAATATTTAATTATAAATGCATCAAAATGCTTTGTTAACAAAATAGGTATTTCGGTATATAGACGTGTTTATACAATCAATAACAATATTATTTTATACATTTGCTTTGGTTTTATCCTAGTAACTTACATCATAGTTTGTTATCTTGCATTTGTAAAATAATTCACTAGGTACATTTGTCTTATGATATACCTATATAAATAATTCCTCATTTTACTGAAGTAACAATTGGAGTTCAAGGGTTTTCAAAAAAAGTCCAACATAAAATTTTTGTGAAAACTAGTGCTTCATTTTGACTACGTCCAGCTAATTTCAGGTTTATGATGCATAAACTGGAGTAGTGGTGGACTGATATGACAGTAGTTGTACTGAAGTTAAAACGCGTCATATTTTTAAAATATTATTAGCAGCCAAAACGTATGTTATACTTATTATTATAGAGGTAATAGCACCTATTCTTAATTCTAGTTCTACCATTGTCTGATGAAGCTAGAACTCGTTATATAATATTTTTGTGCTTACATAAAGTTTACTTTTACTTGCATCTAATACCTATATTGATTTTTACCTTTCTATAAAAACCCTCTTAATTAAAAGAGAAAAATATACTTGTCTTATAAAAATAAAATCCAAGATCATAAAATAAAAACAAAATACATACAACAGTAAAGATAAAAACATGTTTTAAAATAAGATAACATATCAAAATAAAATACATATGACTACAGATCGCATGTAAACATGTATGGTTTTGGAATTACATAATTATATAGAATAAATACCTACGTTTGCTCTGCGAGCGGTGGAAATCTTATCGAGCAAGTTATACTATATGTGATTATTTGTTCTACGTAACATCAAGTTACTATTTGTACTTATTATCTCTACAGAAATTTTGTCTCTAAGAAATGATATACTTTTTCATATACAACCAACATTATAGCTCCTCCGGGACCCAGTCTCATGACCTTTGGTACCAGACCTTTGTATAATGCGCGGAATCTGAAAACAAATAAAGGATTATTATAATGAAGATAGTACTTAAGCAGTTACCAAAATTTATTTAAGTAACAGATATTTAATACCTGCCTAGAAAATGAAATTAGCTTAGATATATTTACATTTCGATCCCATTTGTTTTTTCTTTTGTTTTAGGGTTCTATAGCTTTGATACTGTAGGAGTTTAAAATCCGCTGATTTTTATTTAAATCGACAAGTATCGCATTTGTACAGAGCTATCACATGACAACAATCTATCAATCTTACCATCTCATTTCAAAGATACGTATGCACTTATGTTGGAATGGCAGGTGCACAAATAAAACCTAAAGATATGACAAGAAAATTATAGGGTATGTATATCAGTGGTTAGTGACAGCAGAGTAGAATACCTACAATTGTCACTACGCTTATTCTGCACCCGGGTGTCTCAAGACCCCAAACAGTTACAATAGCGACAGCAACTCTCTGATAAAACTGATAATTTTAAGCTGTGATCTCCACCTCGCCTGGCAAAGATAGAGATTATGGCAAACTCTCTAATATAGAGAAGACCCATAATTGACTAGTGAATTGTCAAAAACTGTTGATGAAGTTGATCTACAATAATAAGTCTACGAATTGATTCAACATTGGTAAATGTGCTAGCCTAGTTGCAGATAAATTCTACCTACTTATGTAACTACTACTGCTCATTCATAATTTCTATTTATTAGCCAATCGACTGCTAAAATAAATGGCACGTGTTATGTGATAGTGCATCATCTATTCCTAATCCGTCAAATAGCTTTATTCAAAGCCCCTGCTTTATCCCGGCCATTATCAGGTGACTGAATTATAGATTCAAGCTAATATAAAATATGAGACGATAAGGTCTAGTAAAATCTATGATTACTTCAATTATGATTAATTGAAAGCAAGGATTTATTTCACAATGTGTAATTCAATTTAAATCTACTGAAATGCTGCTGGCGGACAGTTTTTTATGTATTTTCCTTATAAAACAAATTACCTTCCTACAACATGTTAATAAGGTAATAACCGCTTAATAACACATCGTTTTACAGCAGACCGAAAAATTGTATGTCTAATTCTACCAAATTGTAAACGACTGCAACTTTACTGCATAAATCGGTACCAAAACTTTGGACTACAGCCAGTTGGACATAAATTAAGATTACTCGGTAAACACGAATATATGCAGCTGGTGTTAAATGTGGCTTGTTAGTTCACTGCACTTACCTACATACAGCTAATGACCTCCAAATGTCGTATAAATTATACAAAGTAAACAGGGAGCGTGTTTGTTTAACTAATAATTACTGTATTTATCTCCGTATCTTATAGATTACTATTTATATTAAGTTATGCAATAAGTAATTAAATAGAGAGAAGGCCTTACATACAAATCGTAACATACAAACTAGAGATAAGTCGGTAGAGCAAAGATAACCAAATTCTTTTACTGGGACTTGAGCACTAGTTATTATTAAGTATAGTTATCTTCTTTAATTTCAGAGGCATGTCTTCATACTTTCTGAGTAGCAGAGCCCCAAAAACTACCTAAGGCTGCATTGAAGAAAGCATCGAATTGGCTACCGAAACATAAATTTCATTTTTCTTTTAATTTGAACGACCTTTACTATTAATCAAAGAAACTTGCAGCTAAAAATTTGTTACAATACAATTTACCTGTAATATTACATGTTTGCAAGTATGTATGTCACTATACCTAAATCCGTAAATTACAAGCGCTGTAACTACGGGAACGCGTTATTATAACATTGTTAACCATAAACTGAGTCACTACAGATGCTATGCGTTTGTGCATTCATTCAGGATCAATATACAAAGAAGATGAAATATCATTACTGGAAATACCAATAGGAAAGGTACGAAAGACTTACTATAGGCACCACACAACTACGAGAAAAATAATAGGAAGTATATATATTATATGAGTATTTATAACATAAAATCAAACTAAAGATCTAACGTTCATAATTTATGTTCGGAAATGAGACATTCAAGCGACACCGCAGATTTGTCTTTCTTTAGTTTACCTTTTACAATCATTTTGGCAAGTAAATAAGTTCATCGTACTGCAAGCGCCGTGCATGATCTTCGATTTCCAACATTTAAGAGTTTTCTTTGTTAACACACAAGTTTTCCTGAGAGTACTTGGCGTATTGCCCAATTGACGGGAAGACAGTTTGCAGCAGTAGTACTTAGGTATAGACTCATATTTATAAATATTCACGGAATGTTGGGGAAACTGCTGAAATCTTAACACTACAGTTGCTCAACTAGATTGAATTTAATTTAGAAAGTAAGTGCCTAGTGCCTCATCTCTAGCATTTATTTTGTGAACTAGCAGAAGAGTGCGGCCCAAGGATCTCCAGACTAATGCTCAGTATAAATGAAAATCCAGGAAGAAATAATAAATAGAATATTCCTTACCCTTCTTCTCGATACACCGTTATCATAGCTCCAGTGGTTGTCCTGTATTTTATTTCTCCTTTTATAGGCTGCGGTCCTTGGATTCGACTTTTAGCGACATCAAATGGTATATTGACACATGACCCTAGACATCCTGCTACGAAACCGATGCACAGCTTTCTTAAGAAGTCTAGGATTGGTACCTGTAATAAATTAATTCTTGATTTAGTATCCAGACGAAATTTTTGAAAAAGTAAATTAATTGCATCTACCAACTTTTAGCATTATCTAATAATCTAGTAATAATTGAAAATTCATAAAAAAATTGTCTTATATCATTTTAAACCCTACGATACAAATTACTTAGTATAGAGGCTGGAGGTCCGATTAAAGAAAGATAGTCTAATAAGATTTTATTTTTACTGACCTTGTTCTCAGGTACCATATCTTTTACACTATGATAGAATCCGAAATACACCATATTGAAAACACCATTCCTGGCAAGTGTTGCAGTCAGACCTTTGCTTAACCCTCTAGAGCCAAAACCATGTTCTCTCACAATTTGTCTAGTAACAGACCATGTGCTTGGGACCTCTTTGCCTCTGGCCTTGTTAGCCATTAATGTTACTTTCACTACTTCAAATGGGTTTACAAATATACCTTCTGTTATACCTGCTCCGAGTCCAGCTAGTGAAAATACCTGGAAAATAAATATAGGACAATATTTACAGGTAATAAAAGGATGTACAAAGACTGAAGAGGCTGAAATTTGAGTCAAAATAAGAATTCTGATTGTAAACAGATTTGGTATTATTTGGTATTGTAAGGATTTTTATTAGTTACAGTATCTACAACATACATTTTTATGTACTAGTTGTATTTAGATATTTAGGTACATAATAATTAATTATTTCATAATTAGTTATTTTTGAGGGACAAAGCACATAAAAAACAATAAAAATAAATTGTTTCAATAGTCATGCCATACATAATTCCATCTGATTTATCTCTTAAGGAATATTTTGCTACCTTAAAGCAATAGATAATATTTAAACTGTTTGAATATTTGATAGCTCTTATCAGACAGTTGACATTGTTTCTATTTGTTGTGTTCATTTCTTGATAATGTGAACAGCTATCTATAGTTTTTTTTAATAATTCTTATTCTTATTTATTAAAGCCATAAACTTAAATTGAAAAATTAACTTAGATTGATTATAGCAGCAAAAACTATGTAATTACTGTCCTGGTTAGTTATTATCAAAAATATATATTATATAAAAAAATACTTATAATAATTTCAAAGATCTAATTTATGAAAGTAGCAAGTATTTCATACAGATTTTTGATTCTTCTCAAGAAAAATTAAAGGAAAACTAAAAAAAAATTATTGAACCTTATAAGAAAGAAAGAAAGAGTTAGCAACAAAAAAAAATTAAAATATCCTCACTAAAGGTGTTGCTGTACTGGTACCAAGAATTGTCATACCAAGTTTTTTGTATTGTTCAAAGCAAACAAACTTCACTGCTCTTTTAGGTGTCTCGGCCAAAATAGGAGGCAATATACCCTTGTAGAATGATGATAATCCTTCATGCCTGTACATTTTCTGTACACAGTCCAATATTCCAGTGTAATAGTGAGGGTCTGTTCTTGGCAGGTTCTTATTGGTGGCCTGCAACTGCAGCCTAGTCTTTATAAGGTCCAGGGGCTGCATAATCAGGACTTCAACAAACCCTGCACTTCCACCAGCACCTATCTGCATCGCAGCTTGCTTCAACAACGCATTCATATCACTCATTTTTACACTCAGGAGTTCACTGATTCAAAATTATAATAAAAAAAATATTTTATGTCGTTTATATCCAATAAATTGCACTTGTGTTATGTATGATTCCAGCTCTGAATTCCGTTTCTTGTCACAAAAACAATTAATAAATGAATAACAAACGTATGTAATAAAAAAATAAATATGTAAAATGCCTAAAAATGCACAATTCTCTTCAAAATATCACAGCAAATGAGCCAGAGCAAAATGATTCTCATTGGAATCGTATTAAACAACTTTACCGAAAGGGCGTAAATACAAAACAGAAAGAATTCGCCGTTATGCCTTTACAATAAAGTCGTTTGTTAAATGAAACCAATGTATTGAGAGAATTCTTGTAGAACAAGGTAATAACAAAGTTATGCAGTTCACATAAAGTCGTTTTTAATTTTTTTTACCTCTTTGTGCTCAATAAGATTTTGACATTGACATGGTGTCACTTCATTACATAGGAGTCGGCGGGAAATTATGAAAGACGTCAAGAAATACAAAACTTTTAAAACTTTTTATTCAATGTTAGCAATTAATTTTAAATATAATTCTACATTTGCTGTCAAGTCAATTTTGTCAAAAACGCGTTTAATTTTGTTTTTAATTTGTAGGAATTTATTTCGATTAACAATTCGATATTATTTTTCTACAATCTACACATTATTCCTAGATGCCATGCCAAGTGACGCGTTTGACAGTTCAGTCTAGTTGTAATACCCTATAAAAAAATGATGACATTAGACGGTTATTGCAGATAACGGTAAATGGTTCATCACTAACTGCGAATAAAGAGAATGGCAGCCCAGACGTTAGCTGTCAATGAGTCTCCAGTTGAAAGTGTTGTTTCCACAGACCTACTATAATATGGACCAGAAATACCTACAAAATACGCGTGCATACCTACTAGAAACCGCGGCCTAAAAATGGCTGCCATTGCTAGGGAAGTACTGTAGTCAAAACCAAAAAGTATCGATATCGATAGCAGAGTTTTATACATTAAAAATCTTCTGGTCCTTTGAATTTTTTTTTAAAGGTACAAATCATCGAATGTCTTCAAGCCACTTCTGACGCAGCACTTCATTTTTAGGGAATTTGTGGAAATAAAAAAAACATAAAAATTATTTCAGTTTTGTACATTTAGTGGTACAAATCATAGACTGAACTAAATGAAAGTACCTACTGTATGAAGAATTGATATTATTATGTTATGGTACTATCCCTATTTTTATTTCTATTCTGTAAGATTTATTTTCAAAATGGTCTCTTCAGACCCTTTATTTTGATACTCTACTCTACTGGACTCCATAACATACAAACTAAAAATATGTTAGTTTCTTATCGATATGTTATTAAATAAAATACATCACTATTTGTAAATCGTCATTTGTATTGTAAACAAAACTTAAACAAATTTAGCAAATGAAGTTAGTTATCCTAAACAAATTTAATGTACATTTGGGGGCTTTTATTCTATATATAAAACAAGGCTAGATAAACAAGAAAACTAATAGTATGATAAAGTTTTTTCTTAAAATACGGCTACTAACCTGTGCATAGTCAAATAAGGTTGATTGGGGTTTTTCCTTGCCCCACACTGAATTATTGAACAAGTAGACATATTAAATATGCACCACTAGACACTCACAGCACAAAACAAATAAGTTGGGAGCGTTTTTATTGTTAAAAATCGCAATCCAAATCTAATGTTTTTGTTTGCTTGACACCTGATGTACTACAAAACTATGCGGCCTAAAGATGGCGGCTGGCACGCGAGGTAGGTACCTTGTCAGAAATGTAGAAATGTTGCCAGGCAGAGAATAAACAAACAACATGACGTCTCTTTCTTCAAATGAGGAAACTCATTGATTAAAAAGAGACAAAGTGTGGTTTCATATTTCTATATCGATTTGATATATATTTGTATAAGCAAATAAGCTATAGATCATTACTTCTGGTCCATATTATAGTAGGTCTGTGGTTGTTTCGCAGATTTCATCCAATGTATCCTAGCTCAAATATATTAATTTGTTTGTCCATATTTTGATTAGACTAGTCGTTTTGCTATTTACAAATGTTTATAAGAGTAAGAACTCACTGCTGATGTAGGTGGACGCGTGTATTCAGCAAACAATCAATGTCTATAAAGTCCATTTTCGCGTGGAATCTCTCTTTCAAAATGGCAGTGGTATTAACAATTCGCAGATGTGAAAAATGATTTCGTGTGTTATAAACAGTGTCGGTGTGGGTGGATAGTGAATTAAACACGGAAATGTGGACATAAAGTGTAAGATGGGTTCGCAGACACTAGAGATATTACGCCAAGGTGTTTGGGCATCGTTAACTGGGGGATGGTTTTATGATCCTCATCAGAATTTGTTTTGCAACACTGTGCATTTATATGTGTGGTTGTTCCTGCTATGTTTGCCGTTTTCTATCTACCTGGTGAGTTGGATTATAGTGCTACATTCAAAGTGTTTGTGTTAGTTGGTATGGAAGTGGTTGAAATGTAAAGCAGGTCACTAGTGATTGGTTGAAATGATTGTTATTCAGCAGTGTGACTTGAGTCATTATGGTCATTGCCCTTACGAAGCCTTAGCAATAAAACTGTTAAGACTAATCTGTCAACAGTTAGCACCTTCAAGGCAATTTATTTCTTACAAGATAAGAAGTAGGACAATGATACTTGAACTAGTTTACATTGTTTATCCATTATAATTACGTTTTAATTAACATATATCAAATTAAATGTAACTGAGCACTTTATAGGTTATTTTTTGTTCAAATAGCAAGATTGTGCTTTAGTGTTCAATTTAGTTTTGCTACCTCCTTTTATTAACCTTTTTATATTTGAATACCTGAACTGTAAAGCAGTGCCTAAAAGCAGGTCATTAACATAATTATAATACCTTTTAAAGGTTTAAACACTATTTAAAATCTATACAGATAAATAAAATTGGATTGTCTGTTTGTAATATTAAAATGCTATATGAATATACATATGATCCACATACCAAAATCACAGCTTTTACAATTTTTGTCTATCTGTCTGTCTGTCTGTTTGTACTGGCTAATCTATGGAACGGCAGAACCGATTTTGTAAGACTTTTATTGGCTGGTAACTATGTACTAAAGAGTAACATATAGGCCACTTTTATTTTGGAGAAATGAAACAAAAAAAAAGTTGTACATATGGAAGAATTCGAGAGCTAGTAGTCAATAAAAACTCAAACTAATTCATACAACATGAATTACCAAGTTATTATATTTAAACCATATCTTATTGAGACCCTACAGTCTCATAAGACGATTTTTATTATTCCAATTTATTATTAGTATTGGTATAATATTGATTACCCATGCAATCAGATTTAAAAACAAATTACTTTATTTGCTGAACAATGAACTGTTTACTTTATTTATTTAACTCATAAATGTCCGATAATAGTAATCTCTAAACATAGGAAATAAGGTCTATAATAGTGTAAGTGGAAAATGGTCACGGTGACCGGTTGGAACTTGACCAGTTGGCCAGGGTGGTAATTATTTTAAAATAATTACTTATTTCTTTGTTCTACTTAATAGACATGCAATAATTAAGTAGGTATATCTTAGGTCAATAATACAGTATTGTATTCTTGTTCTTAACTGACTTCAAAAGTAGGAGGTTCTCAAACACTAGCTTCTGGCAGTGGCTTTGCCTGCATTCCTATGGCATAAAATGTAGCCTGTGTCCTTCCAGACCACTATCTACCCCTGTTCCAAATTTCATTGTAATCCTTTCCACTGTTTTGATGTGAAAGAATAACAAACAAACACACACACATATACATCCTCACAAACTTTTGCATCTATATAACTAAACATTATTACTCCCATAAGATATAAAATCCTATAGGAATCTCGACAAAAAAGTATTGATAATAAATCTAATCAAAGAGGTGTAATCTCTGATAGGCACAAAAATAGCTTTCACAGTTTCTGTTATTAAGAGGCTTATTTTTAGCTGGACTCGATTATAGGATTAGTCATAGCTAATAATAAATCAAGGTAGACCTAGAATATTTCATTCAGAATGGGAATTAAGATTTTTCAACACTGTACAGAACCTGTTAATGTTTAGAGAGGTAGTAGGATATAATAGTAAACTAATGAATTATTGAGGTTGTCTTTATTGACAATACTGGCTTCTGCCAGTGGCTTCACCCATAGCGGTGACAGCAGCTCTGATAAAAGTAGCATAATTATGTTTTATTACAATCTGTAATAGGTATATCCCTATGCCAAATTCCATCCAGATCTGTTTTGTAAATGAAGAGGAAACTGAAGAGTTTATATGTAATACACAAACAAACTCTTCAGTTTTCTCTGTGTTTGAATGCACTAATCTTAGAAATTACTGAGTCTATTTTAATAATACTTTTTGAATAGGATATTCCGTTTATCGAGGAAAGATATAGGGTATAAAAATAACGCTATGACCAAAAGGAACCAGCGGAAGTAGCTAGTTTTTAATAAATGAATAATAAACAAACACATATATCCTCACAAACTTATTTATTCATAATAATAATAGGATAGCAGGTCCCATAATCTGCCTAATCCCCGATTCCCCAATAATGCTCAAACTCCTAATCCCCAAAAGGCCGGCAAAGCATTTGTAACGCCTCTGGTGTTCCAGGTGTCCATGAGCAACGCCGATTGCTTACCATCAGGTGATCCACCAGCTTGTTTACCAGCTTATTCCCTAAAAAAGGAGGATCTAAACCTGAGTTACGCCATGACAACTATGTATGTTAATACTATATGAGAGAGAATAATGAGAGTAGTGTAAGAATGAAATGATTCGCTAATACAATGCTCACAATACTATGTTACAATTTATTGTCTTGAATGCTGGCATTTTACATTGTTTTAAACACTCATTAACTTATTTTAGTACCATACAATAAGTGAGTAATGCTTGCAATTAAATAGGTTTCTTTGTAATTTTGTACTAAAAACAATATTTGAGATTTTTCCTTCTTGTGTTGTGACTATAAATAAGTATGTATGCAATGTCAATAAGCACTTCTACAGTTTTATAACTACTTCAACCAAAACCTAGATTGACCCTATTACTAAAAATCTGAATTTCATACTACATATATATTAATACTGAAAAATTTTTTAAAACCAAAAATACCCAATGAATCTGCTCTACGGTTTACATCAATACATACTTACATAATATATAGTCAGTTAGCCACTTGAAAGTATTCTAAAGTCATCAATTTCGTCTCATTGAGCGATGACAGTCTCAATATGCAACAATCACGCAGTTATAAATTGGCTGATGCTGGTGTGTATTGTAATGCACGGCTTTATATTGGGACAAAATCGTGTACATTATAGTCCGGAATATGACTGTAATAATTATATTTAAAGAATAAGAAACTGAGTTTTGATTTCTATGAGGTCTAGTCTAGAAGCTGTATTTGATGATTCTCATGTAGTCATAGTAAAAACTTAAATGAGATTAATAACTGTTATTTGTATACTAGATTGTAGTAGATAGCCTAATAATTGTATGAAGATTAACTTTGGAATTTTATTTGATTTTGAAATTTCTATCCGCATCACGGCCACACGCAGGACAGGAATACTGAGGTGGTTTTAGCCAGTTAGAGCCCGCTAATACCGACCCATTGTGTTCACACCATTCACGAAGGAATTCCATTAATAATTTCGTTATGCTAGAAAAATATTGACCTAGAAAAGCTATAAGAAGAGATGAGTGGAAGGAGGGTAGGGAGGCTCTGCCCTGCAGTGGGATAACCATGGCTAAAAATATAATAAGTAAAAAATATTGATTGACTGTTTAACCCCTTGAGCGTCCTTATGAGCACCCAGTGGATCATAAGAAAAAATGCTCCAAATGTCATGTGTGCACCCGTTGGATCATAAGGAACGCGGACGCTCGACGGGTTAACTAAAAACATTGTTTTCTAAGTAGACTCCCTAATGTGTGCTGAAAATTGACGTTGATCTATTACATATACAAGTTACATTTAACTAACTATTGTATACATATGTTTGGTGCTTAGGTGTGGCGTTCAGAGTTATTATTCTCCATTAACCTAATGAACTTAGTGCAAGTTAATTGATGTGTTGTTTACAAATACTATGTCTTATGCTAATGGTATTAGATGCTAATTTCAAATGTAGAGCACTCAGGTTTTATTTTTACATGCGAAAATGTTAAGTAGTGCACAAAATGCGATAGACAAGATAACAAGATTATTGTTATCTTTAACATTTTTGAATCTGGTATTCGCCAAGAGAGTACCTAGAGGTATGCGTCAAGGTAATTATAGAAGCCAATTAGGTACATGATAATTCGTAGATAGAACATTTTTTTCATGAAGAACCAAAGCTTAAAATATTGTTTGATGTCCATTTACAACAAAAATATTGCTTCTCCTCCGCATCATATTATAGTATTTTGTACAAAAAATGCAGTACTGAACTACGAAATAATCGTTTTTAATATCCGTCGATATTTTAATACATATCTATAAAAAAAACGCATAGATTAGAGCAAAAAACTGATGTCTTAAAAGACAAGCAATAATGTAATTAATTGCATAAAATTATTAGAATAACATTGACGTAATATCGTAACATGATCATCTTAATATTCTGAATCAACCTAGTTACACGGTATCAATTTAATTTCATCGGTATCCGCTTGCCTTCAAACTAATTAGGCTTGCGACCAGATCATTAGCAAATCGATGAATATTACATTTCGTTCAAAGAATTGGAATTGAGAACAAGAAGCGTGTAATTCTTGTTGGTTTAGTTGAAAGTGTTTGCTGGCTGAAATGACCGGTAAACCTAAAGTTCTAAGTTCAAATTACTGAAACATACTTCCAAATCTAATCTTTGTTTATATCATTCCCTATTCTCGTCCATCAGTAGTCTCAAAACAGATTGATTGCTAACGCCGTGTTATAGTTTACACCTACGCATTCACACGCAGAAGTTAGCACCACTTAAAACCACGGGAAATATTTATTGTTAAACTATTTATAAAACTAGGTATGTACATGGCCAAAAAGTATTCTATTTATACATTCATTATATCTACAAAACTAGCTAGTTTGATGAAGAAATAGTTAATTCCTTCAAACATCCATATGTACGACATGTCACTAACAATGACATGAGTACGAAACTATCTAAACTTCGATATTTTAAAATTGGCATCCAGACTTAACACATGAAAAGTTCTGGACTTTTCCTAAGGATTTATTACCTGGAAGTCAAAATAAATTAAAAAAACTATACATTTGATGTTATCTGTCCTATAGTACTTCCCGCCAGCGAGTCTCGGTTGGATCATATACTGTGCATTGGTTGCGGTGCTATTCGCCGGCCTGAAGCTGTTGAACCACGGCCTGCACCACATGTACGACACCACCGAGTGCATCATCGTGCAGCCGCCCAGCGACCCCAACGCCACTGAGAACACTGCGTAAGTAAACACTCTGTTTCAATATATTGTATGTAGTTACTTTTTTTTTTTCCTTTTTTTTTATAAAACGTTTCCCCACACTAGGATTTTCTCCTGTGTCGTGGGTGCGTTTACAAACATACAAGTTCACATACACATGACACCCAGACCCGAAACAACAATTTGTGGATCACACAAAGTGTTGTTCCGTGCGGGAATCGAACCCGCGACACGTTGCACGGCAGCCGGTTGCCCAGCCACCGCACCAACCGTGCAGTCAAAAAAGTCAGTTACTCTGCCACTTGTTTAAAGTGACTGTAAGTCGGCAAAACTCTCAGTAATAGCACAAAGTTCGGTTACCTATCGTCCCATTACAATGGACGGTGCACACTTACTTATTTTTGTATTTTCCCATCAGTCCTGACGAAGGCATGGAGATGCAAATGCTGAAGTTGGGTGGAGCGCCGGCGACGGGGAGTGACAACGAGTCAGTCACTTCACTCGAGTACCACAAGCCTAATAACAGCACTATAGGTATAAAACATTCGTACATGTATTATTAAACTAAACACAACACAATAGGATCTATTGAAAATTGTTCTCTTTCTCCGTTTACAGATTTAAAAGTAGATGTCCACCGAAAGAACAGTTCGGAGTCTAGTATGGAAGACAGCGCCATGTCTGCCAAGCAGACGGAGGCTGTGGCCGCCACCAAGTCGGACCTGTGCGTGGCGCAGGCCGCCGACATGCCCGGCCCTTCCAAAACCCGTCCAGCTGCCAGGAGCCGATCTAAATCCGGCCACAGAAGGGAACGAACCTCCAAAAGGAGGACGCACGGTACCCGCATCGACGAACTAATAGGTGAAGCCTCTAGAAGTAACAGGGTCGAGAACAACTTGCCCGTTCATATGCTAGTCGACGAAGGCCCCTTCGCCAAAGTAAGTAGGCGGTACCACGAGTGCCCACATCGTCGCGGATCAAGTAACAAGGACTTTTTCAAAGAGTGGTTATACCTCGACGGTAGCGAGGCTACCGGGGAACCTTATCAGTCCAAGTTCGCTCGACAACTCAGCTCCGACTCGAGAGATAACTCCGAGCCTAGCGTCGGTCCGCCGTCTCCTAAGAAGAGGACAGCTCACCGTCGGAGGTACGCTAACTACCCAGATGAAAGTTGTACCAAGTCCGCAATGGCGCTGGCAACACAGCAGTCCTCCAACATGCGCAGGAACTCCAACTCCACGATGTCCACTATTCAGCTCCCACTTTTGAATTCAACCGCACAACTTGTATCGCATATGAGGAGGCACTCCAACAATGCTGATACTGGATTCTTCGCCAGTGTAGAGCTTGGTGAATACATGATGGTGAAGGCCGAAGCCCCAGCGGGCGAAACAGAAAAGAGTAAAGGAAAGAGTTCAGGATTTAGAAGAATTAAAAGCGCCGCGTTAGAAATTGGGTGTCCACCTCCGAGTGTTTCGAACCTGTCCCCCCATCCTAATAGCGCAGAAACTATCGGTGGTCAGATGCTAAAGAACCCTAAAAGCGCAGTTATTCCACCTCCTAGTAAAAGCTTAACTCGCGGTCCACATTTAAATCTGTACCCAAAGAATGAATCAGGAGAAGGATGCAGCTACCCATATCTAACTTACGGCTCTGAAATTGTGTACCCAATCGCTGAAATATCTGATGAGATGCAAACATCTCAGAAAGAAACTGACCTAGACTCGAGTGGAGAGAGCTACAGTGATTACGATGATGAGAAGCAGTTCCGAGGCTTCGACTGGGACGCCGAGCAGTCACCAGCGATGCGCTCCAGTGACTCTGACTACGAAAACAACGGATCCAGGTCGCCATTGCTTGACAGGCCCTCAGACGTGCGAGTGGTGCGGAGTAAAACTCACGGGGACAGCAAGAAGCACTGCTGCGAACGACACACAAACAAACATAACTTGGACTGCCCCAACGACAAAAGTAAACCAGTAAGACTGAAAAAGCTTCCCAAACACGAGCCACAATATGAAGCTAAGCGTTCCGATAGAGCAGCACCTCCTTGCTGCGAATGTAAAACCAACATCAATCCTAACGTTGACTATTTTGAAAAGGCCAGCGCTAGTTCCAAAGACTTATTAATAGAAAAATCTAGTTTAGAGTCTAATGAGGCCCAAGAGCAGCCCGAGAAACAATCAGAAGACAAAAAAGTCGTCGAAAAGAAACCGTGGGACCACAATATCTGTAATTCTAGCAGTAGCAGCGATACTTACGTAGAGGGAGTGGCGAAAATGTTTAAACCAGAAAAGAACATTGCTCCCGAAACTGAGGAGTCGCAAGTAACTTGTGACAGCAGCCGTAGTGCCGACGAGCGCAGCGTGTACAGCCTGGACTGGCTCTTCGAGGAGGCCGACCTCGCCGGCTGCAAGGACGCAGGCGCCTGCGCGCTCTCTGAAGATGTATTGAACCAAAAACTAGCCAACGCCCTCGGCGAGTCGTCTTCCAATGTTCCAAAAAACTTGGGAGCTATACCAAAGCAGATAAAAAACTTAGCGCGTTCGCGAGCTTCCTCGCAGAAGGAGAACAAGAAGAGAGATTCTAAAAAAGAAAAAGATGAGAATCAAAATGAAGAAGTATCCTTCGACGCGGTGGAAGCTCAGGCTGCTTTGGTACAAGGGTTGGAATGCTTGTTTGCGGCGACCAACGCCAACACTGTGGTGATGCCGCCCACCAACCGGGACGAGCGCCAGCGCAGCCACAGGCAGAGCATTCGGGGGGAGAGAGAGAATTCGCACAAAACTAGGAAACGTTCCATTGAAGAAGTAGCACAAACCTCTACCAACACCCTTCTTCCCACCTCCATGCCTTTACTGGCAGCGTTCCTCAACTCCAGGGTGGACTTCGGACCTTGTTGCGCACCAGCGCACGCCGCGGCCAGCACCGAGCCAGCCCCGCCACAGAACGCGCAGGCTGCGGAGGAGGCCCCGCGGTTCAGGCCACTGATGGATAGAAACCATAGGAACCGCATTAGAAAAATTAAACGTTCAACCCGACAGCGAAATAATCCTTCGCATCAGAACAATGCAAACAAAAGAAACAAGCAGCCAGCTCCGGACAGCTCCAATAACTCTAATAATGTTCACTTTGCGACGTCATTCGACGACACGACGGACGGTGCAATACACTGCTTCATGGACGAGTATGGCAACTGGATGTCGTACACCTTTGATAAGAACAGTTCAGGTCGTGCACAGGCACAACCAATTCCTTTACCGGAGAAGGAAGATGGAATGCGCATTAACAGGGTCAAACCTATCGATAACCCCGACAACTCGCAAGAAACTGCCGGCGAAGGCAGCTGTGGCTCTCTAGAATCTGAAGCTGGCAACAGTGAAAGTATCCCCAAAACTAAACGCGGAGACAGCATCGACCAAAGTTCCTCCAACCAGGGCAGTAACAACCCGCTCCTGTCGAGCAATAACAATGTGTCGGCCGTTGTACCCATTAACACGAATAATGCCAACAAGCGGTTCTACGTGTTTGACGGAGGGACCGGCGCACACGCGGACCAACCGCGGTCCCCCGTGGCGTACGTCACTGACAGCTTGCTAGAACAAATAGAGGCTGAGAGACAATCGCGCATGGGGCTACCGAGCATGCATATAAACTTCCTCATGAACCAGCAGAGGGCGCAACAGATGGCTCAGCAACAAGCTGAGAACACATACGCTAATATACCGAGCCTGATGCCCTCGATAGGCGAGGAGAGCGTAGAAATAAACCTTAGGAGTAAATTCTCTAAATTAATGGACGAAATGGAGAAGGCGAATCAGCCTAAACCAAAGAGTTATTACAAATTCAAACTTTCAAAATGTTTTGAACTAAAAGTTACCATGGACAGATTGCAACTGATGGCATTGTTTGATCGAAACTTGACGTTCAAGGAAACCTTTGTCACAATATTTCTGGCTGTGATGGTGGCCGTGCTGGGTTCCATGGTGTTGAACCTCGGCTTCTACAGGGATATATACGCGTTTTGGTTTTGTTTCATCATGGCGGGCAGTCAGTACTCGCTACTAAAAAGTGTCCAGCCGGACTCCGCGTCACCAGTGCATGGTTTCAACAAGATGGTGGTGTTCTCTCGTCCCGTCTACTTCTGTATCTGTACGGCACTATTGTGCGGGGTACACAGTTACTTGGAACAAACAGCGCCCTTTACGGACGAGGACCACACGAGACGAAAACGAAGTGTAGACGTCACAAAACCTATCACGATATACGGATTTGAGATGAATGAAAGAGATTTTTTACTCATCATTCAATATGTACTATCAAAGTTCCTGTTATTTTTTCCTTTGGCATTCAGCTTAGGGTTATTCCCTCAAGTGAACACATTCCTCATGTACTTCTTGGAGCAGATAGACATGCACGTCTTCGGTGGCAACGCGACGAGCAGCCTGAGCGCGGCCGTGTACTGCGTGCTGCGGTCCGTGGCCGCCATCGGGGTGCTGTACGGGTTCGCGTACAGCGGGCTCGTCGAGGGGAAGAAATCTCAGCACCAGAAGCACAACATACTGTTCTCAATATTCTGCGGCCTCTTGGTGCCCATAGCGTACCACCTGAGTCGCAGTGCGAGCGACTACACGCTCATCTGGAACTTGATAAAGAAACATTTGTTGCCGCCGGAGTTGTACGTGATACACACTCCGGAATGTTCCCCGGAGACTGACAAGTCGGACCCCAACACGCTGACTGAAGACAAAAAGAACAATTCAGAGAGTAATATATCGAAACAGAATTCTATAGGAAGTTCAGCGTCTAAGATCAACTTTAGTTCGGAGACGAATATTGCTAAGCAGAAGAGGTCTCAGACGTCGAGCGTTAGTTCGTTGAAGATGGACCCTCGGGGAGGGGACACGATGAACTCCACGAATTCCCTGAAGGGTGAGGTGCCTACAGAAGATGACAAGACCCAGGATACAAGTACTACGAACGTGAAGGCAGACTCTGAGAAGCCGGACGAGGACATGGAGGACCCGCTGCCGAAGAAGTTGCAGGCGACGGTGAACGCGCGGCTCAAGAACGACGTCATCGTGTGCACCTTCCTCGGACTCTTCGTGTTCGGCCTGCACTGCACCACTGTCTTCACCACGCTACGGCCACAACTCAATACGGTGAGTTCTGTTCGTATGTTTGTGTATGCACGTAAATAATCCCAATGCTCCTGATACTAAATCTTACTTTTCTATAAACTAGGCAACCTGTACAAAGTTTTTTTTTAAATCGGCTCGTTCTAAACGATACCTTTTAAAGCGTAATAGAGCAGGGCCGTCGAAACTATAAACAAAGTTTAGTGTGTTTTTACTAATAACGAAGTAAACAACTAATGTTGTTTCTGCTATACTGTACTACACAGCAGAGTTAGCTCTGCTATACTGTACTAAACTTGGGTGGAATAAACTTTATACTCACATTATCTGAGTGATTTTTTTTCTGCACTAACTACAAGTCTATGAATTGTACAAAAACTATTGCAAAATAAAGCCTTATTGTCTTGAATTTACTGCCTCGTTGGCCGAATGGTCGCAAGAGCGACTGTCGGGCAAGGGGTCTTTGGTTTGATTCTCGGGTCGGGCAAAGTGTTAATGGGTTTTTAAAAAAATCTCAGTACCTAGTAGCACAGAGTCTGGAATTGTGTCCGGTATATGGCAATAGGCTCACCCCCTATAACATTGGACTCATAACATAAAGAGTGAAAAGTGGATGTTACATTGTACAGTGGCATTAAGTGCCCTCTTACCCATTCGGGGATAGAAAGGCGTGATTTATGTTATGTATGAAATAATGGGCCCCGCGTCTTGCAGGCGCTATGGATAATAGCGGGCGTGCTGGGCTGGGCGCTGCACTACGCGGTCCCACAGCTGCGCAAGCAACAGCCGTGGCTGTGTCTGGCCGGGCCCGTGCTGCGCCAGCACGAGCACGCGCAGTTCGAGGTCACCGAGCCCGCCAGGCTCATGTGCTTCGAGAAGGTACGGTATACACTCTTTGTAACTGATACAGGCATATTTTTATTGTTTGATAATGACCTTTTTTGTGGGATAAGTCAGCAAATGAGCTGATGGTAAGCAATTGCTGGCGCACCTATAGGTCAGAGGAATTACGTGTACGCAAAACTAATCCTTTACTTGTACTTTTAGTTGGTGAAAACCAAAATGACATCAAATGTGAAAAATGAAAAATTATATTTGCTTAGGGATTTCTTACAATTTAGGGGAAGTGGGTAAAAATGGGCATTTGTGTATTAATTGTGTAATAGTCATGTGTTTATTCCCGTCCAGATGTTCGTGTACCTGAGCTTCCTGGAGCGCAACGTGCTGTACCCGGGCGTGGTGCTGGCGGCCACGTCGCAGGACGCGCCCGCGCTGGCCGCCAAGTACGGGGACGCCCTCGCCGCGCTCATCGTGTGCGTCTGCGCACTCAAGTGTAAGTCGCTAGAGACCACTACCTATCTACTCTATGATCAAAAAATTCTATGATCAAAATTAATTATATATTATTGATTTAAAAAAAAATCGTTTCCTTAACTCATGATAAACCAATCCAGCCTTGCTAAAAAGTCGTTCGCTGGGTACACTTGATGGAGGAGAAGATAAATATTGTCGTACAGGTCCGTAAAGCTCAGAATAGTTCTGGTTATTTTTCCACCATTTTTTTATATAAGGGGGAAAATCATCGAATGACTGCTCCCGCCTGGGTGAGGCGAGAGGGAGTGTCAGACTCTTACTGACTAAAAACCACCCCGTTCCTTCTCCTGCACGTCGAGCCGGAACACGGTAACCCATTAGGTTCTCCGCGACATTTTTCCACCATAGAAGATTATCTTCCTGCATATTGATTAGTTTTTCTTTAATGTAGTTATTTAATAGGCATTTTAGTACAACGCATCTATCTTCAATTGGTAAACTTTCTTCGTCACTGTTTGGTTCTGAAGGCGGTGAAATTCCTCTTATTTTGAGGAAGCGATACAGGAGGAAGATTATTTATTTTAATTTTTTAGGATCCGGTAGCGGTTGAGGAACTCAAAATATAGCGAAACTCCCGCATTATGAGGAAGCGGAAGAAGAATACTCAGAAAGCAAAAAATAAACAACTTTATGTTTTACAAAATAAGGTTCAAATTCTCTATTTTTCTAACAGGTCTAAGAAACGCGTATTCAGAGCCCGAGTCCCAGTACTTGATCCTGGTGTTCGCAGTGCTCCTCTTCCAAAGAGACCTCAGCAGTCGCAAGATATCAGAGACTTTCCTCGTAGACTACTTCATCACTGCCATCATCTTCAGCAAGGTCTACGAGTTCCTGCTCAAAGTAAGTGCCAAAAAAAAATATTATGTTAATATTAAAATTTAAATAAAATTAACTCGTCGAGTACCGGTTTTATAGACACAATTAAAGAACAATAGGTCGCGGTCACCGGTGACCGCTTGGTGTTTGACAGTTTAATATTTAAAATATTAGCAGAATAATTTAAGTGGATGCAATCTTTATGGGGTCTCAGAGACTTGAAATACGGTAGGTTTGATAGACGACCTTTAAAACAATATGTGTAGTAATTACAATAGCTAAAAATTTAATTCGCAATACAAATTCGGCGTCGTGCGTCACGACTATCGACGCGAACCTCGATGTGTCGTTTCGTTTCTGCGCGACGTCGAGCGATCTGAGGCCTTAGTACCGCATTTGCCGCTCTGATTGGCCGGCTCCAATGAACCAACCAATAAGACCGCCGACCGCGGTCTCGTTTTGATTACTTTGAGCGTAAAACAAATTGGTATTAAGCCCTCAGTATCGCGGCGGGGTATGAATGAAATGCCGTCACTTTGGGCGTACTAAACATTATGTATGTATATTACTAACGTTTTTATTGTTGTGTGTGCCAGGTGCAGTTCGTAGTGACATACATCGCGCCGTGGCAGATCACGTGGGGGAGCGCGTTCCACGCGTTCGCGCAACCATTCTCCGTGCCCCACTCCGCCATGTTGTTCCTGCAGGCCGCCGTCTCCGCTCTGCTCTCCTCGCCACTCACCCCCGCACTCGGTACTCACTCATTATCATAATCACCTTTAAAAACCGCTCTGTTCCTTGATGAAAACGCTTAAAAATGTAATCAGTATTATTGAAAACGAATGGGCCGGTCCGGCCGATGTTCTGGCGGGTTTAGCCGTGTGAGTAAGTGCCTTTTCACATAGCATTGCCGGATAGCCACGTATATAAATTACGCCAGAACGTGTGGAAGCTACAGCGCGCGACCTCGCGCCCCCAGTCGTGGACGGAGAGATGACCACGTAGTGTAGTGAAGCTACAGTACCCAGCAACCGCAACATGTGAAATAGCACTAAGGGTGCTATGTAGGCCCAAATCTCCCTCCTACTTCCCTCCCACCTCAAAGTTGACAACGTACTTGTTCGGATGTCAATAAAAACCGCTAAATACCTACCATTACGTGATCCATTTGCTCGTTCACCCATATCCCACAAACATCGCAAATAGATCGCAATGGTGAATAACGCAACTTTGTAATAAGTGATTTATTAATTATAAGATGTTGTTTGTATGTCAGGTAGTGCAATATTCATGACATCGTACGTGCGCCCCGTCAAGTTCTGGGAGCGCGACTACAACACGAAGCGAGTGGACCAGAGCAATACGCGGCTCTCTTCTCAACTCGAGCGGAACTTAGGAGCTGGTGAGTCTACACTATGATGTAGGGAATAAGGTTTATTTTGCTATGTAGACCAGAGCAACACAAGACTCTAGTTTGGTGGCTGTTTCATTAACTATAAGGTTCAGTTTTGCATTGCGAAGCCCTTTACCAGCCCTGTTCGTTCTTCTCCATATGAATCTACACCTTGGAATTAGCAACTAGCTTCACTTCTAAATTTTTTTGTTGTTGACATTCAAAAGTGCCTTCCTGGTCTAATTAAAATAAATGATTTTGACTTTGACTTGACTAGTGTTGATTCCTTTAAATTCCTTATACATAGATTGCGATAGAAAAAACAAATAAAAATGGGTGTGAACTTTAAAACTTTAAATACCCTTTTCACACAGAAAACATGAAAAATATTCGTAGATGAATACTGAATTTAACTTTAGCAATGTATATGAATGTAATTGTACTTGTATTGCAGACGATAACAACCTGAATTCAATATTCTACGAGCACCTGACTCGGTCGCTGCAGCACTACCTGTGTGGAGACCTCATGCTCGGCCGGTGGGGACAGGTCCAGCAGGGAGACTGCTTCGGTAACGATATATCTGCTACTTATCTTACTTCTTACTATGGAGTTTCTTGCTCGTTTTTCTCCTTTCGAAACTACACTTTGGAACGAGCGCCTAGCTTCACTGACGGACAGACAGACGGACAATTCAATTTTTGACGTTTCAATAGTGCCTAGTTAAGGATTAATTGAAATAAATGCTTTGACTTTGACTATTTAATATTATAAACGCGAATGAGTTATGTTTGTTACTCAATCACGTCAAAACAGCTGAACAAATCGGGTTGAGATTTGGAACATGGACAGATTATGTTCTGGAATGACACAGAGGCCACTATTCATCCCACGGGAACGCGGCAGAAGCTAGTTATGCAAATGTACTGATTAAATGTTCGTGAAGTCGCGATTGTGATATCCTTTTTAACTGACTATGTAAGAACATAAAAGTGCTTATTTTTGTGCAAAAACTACCAAGCTGTTTACTCACTTGTGCTGTTTAAAATTTGTCGTACTACCTACCTACATTACCCATGATTAAGAGTCCCGTAGTGACTTGAAATAAGGCGGGCAACCTTTGGACGAAAACCGTCAATCTAGCTTATTCTTATCGACTCTTTAAACTATCAAGTAAATCATTTGAATTTTAATTCAATTAAAACTATTCTATCGATGAGAATGAGTATTAAAAGTCCTCTATTTTGTTCCAGTATTAGCATCAGACTACCTAAATTGCCTGGTCCACATAGTAGAAATGGGCAATGGGCTGGTGTCCTTCCAGCTGAGAGGGCTAGAGTTCAGAGGGACCTACTGCCAACAGAGAGAGGTTGAGGCCATCTCCGAAGGCCCTGAGGAGAGCAGTGGTGAGTTCTCATAAATAGTATATTTTAGGTTTCTACTTTTGGTGGGATATCTTCAATATTGTGTTGTTTTCATGTTTATTTTACGACCTATTGAAAGTTGTAATAATGAATTTCGAAGTTCAAAAAATGCCACCTCCACTATCGTGTCAAGCATCACTATGGCGTCAATCTTGAAGAATTGGGGTATAATCCCGAGTTTTGGAGTTGTATAAAGTTAGGTTTGATTTTGTAGTTATTGGGAAGCCTTTTTACGGAGGTGGTGGACCTATAAAAGGAACGCAGGTATCGGGTCCCCTAAATAGGCTAAGTCCAGAGCTCCTACTGTGCAATACCTGATACGGCACATTTCTAGGAAGATCTGGATCTCCCCCACAGTGGGGCACTGTGCATGATGGCACGTGATCACTGTGCCACCATCTTTCCTAAGGTGGTTGCGTAAACGGGTACAGTCATACTCTAAGCGACTATGGCCTCGAAAGTTAGGTTTTGAGTGAATCTGGTGACAATATTGATTGGTTACGCTGTCGCTGGGTGTATGCGGCGGGTCGTGGTGGTGCGGGGGGCGCGCGCTGTCGCTGGGCGCGATGTGGGCGCTGATATATACCAGTTGCGTAATGTACAGAGGGTGTATGCGGCGGGTCGTGGTGGTGCGGGGGGCGCGCGCTGTCGCTGGGCGCGATGTGGGCGCTGATATATACCAGTTGCGTAATGTACAGAGGGTGTATGCGGCGGGTCGTGGTGGTGCGGGGGGCGCGCGCTGTCGCTGGGCGCGATGTGGGCGCTGATATATACCAGTTGCGTAATGTACAGAGGGTGTATGCGGCGGGTCGTGGTGGTGCGGGGGGCGCGCGCTGTCGCTGGGCGCGATGTGGGCGCTGATATATACCAGTTGCGTAATGTACAGAGGGTGTATGCGGCGGGTCGTGGTGGTGCGGGGGGCGCGCGCTGTCGCTGGGCGCGATGTGGGCGCTGATATATACCAGTTGCGTAATGTACAGAGGGTGTATGCGGCGGGTCGTGGTGGTGCGGGGGGCGCGCGCTGTCGCTGGGCGCGATGTGGGCGCTGATATATACCAGTTGCGTAATGTACAGAGGGTGTATGCGGCGGGTCGTGGTGGTGCGGGGGGCGCGCGCTGTCGCTGGGCGCGATGTGGGCGCTGATATATACCAGTTGCGTAATGTACAGAGGGTGTATGCGGCGGGTCGTGGTGGTGCGGGGGGCGCGCGCTGTCGCTGGGCGCGATGTGGGCGCTGATATATACCAGTTGCGTAATGTACAGAGGGTGTATGCGGCGGGTCGTGGTGGTGCGGGGGGCGCGCGCTGTCGCTGGGCGCGATGTGGGCGCTGATATATACCAGTTGCGTAATGTACAGAGGGTGTATGCGGCGGGTCGTGGTGGTGCGGGGGGCGCGCGCTGTCGCTGGGCGCGATGTGGGCGCTGATATATACCAGTTGCGTAATGTACAGAGGGTGTATGCGGCGGGTCGTGGTGGTGCGGGGGGCGCGCGCTGTCGCTGGGCGCGATGTGGGCGCTGATATATACCAGTTGCGTAATGTACAGAGGGTGTATGCGGCGGGTCGTGGTGGTGCGGGGGGCGCGCGCTGTCGCTGGGCGCGATGTGGGCGCTGATATATACCAGTTGCGTAATGTACAGAGGGTGTATGCGGCGGGTCGTGGTGGTGCGGGGGGCGCGCGCTGTCGCTGGGCGCGATGTGGGCGCTGATATATACCAGTTGCGTAATGTACAGAGGGTGTATGCGGCGGGTCGTGGTGGTGCGGGGGGCGCGCGCTGTCGCTGGGCGCGATGTGGGCGCTGCGTTGGTTGGCGTGGCAGTTGGTGGCGGCGCGGTATGTGCTCGAGGGATACTCCGTCTCCGACAACTCTGCCGTCTCCATGCTGCAAGTCTTCGAGTTTCGGAAGGTGCTGCTCACTTATTACGTCAAGGTATGTTGTCATTACTCCATTAAAATCATGGGTAATATAACTAAGTCGCACCCATGTAGTAGACTGACTATCTGATTACAAGTCCCAGGAAATCTCTGTATGCACTTTCCTTCCATCCAACCAATCTGGAGGTCATTGGAAGTCATGTTCACCCATCTTGTAGCTCAATCACAAAATCTTAATTTCCTTCGCAGAGTATAATCTACTACACCATCCAGTCAGCTAAGTTAGAAGAATGGCTATCCTCACCAATGATAGCGGAGGCGTTAAAGCCAATGAACGAGAGGAACTTTGTGGACTTGGACCCCATATTCAATGTCAACTTAGATGAAGATTACGACTTTAGAGCTTCTGGTATTACCAGGTACGTTGTTTTTACAGGTTTTATGTGGATAAGTCTTCCTATGTCTACGTTTATTGCTGCAGTTGATTAGTCATTTGCTTAGCCAAAAATGCAGAATTTATGTCCCAGAGATTTGAAGACTGCCTCATTGGCCGAGCGGTCGCAAGTGCGACTGCCGGGCAAGGGGTCTCGGGTTCGATTCCCGGGTCGGGCAAAGTATTACTGTGGTTTTTTAAAAATCTCAGTAGTAGCACGGAGCCTGGAAATGTGCCCGGTATATGGCAATAGGCTCACCTCCTATTACATGGGACTCATAACATAAATAGTGAAAAGTGGGTGTTACTTCTATGTGCACCTCTGCCTACCCCTTCGGGGATAAAAGGCGTGATGTTATGTAGATTTGAAGATGATGAATAAGTTTCAGTAACTTTTAATGTATAAGTTACTAGCTTTTACCAGCGGCTTCGCTCGCGTCACAAAAGGATAAAAAGTAGCCTCTGTGACATATACCAATACACACAGCGCTATCTATACCAACACTTTTGTTTCCAATCGGGAATATCAATTTTTCCGGGATAAAAAGTACCCTATTATTTAATCCGAACTTCTAACTTTACGTCTTGAAAAAATTCAAAACAATCGGTTGAGTAGTTACGGCGTAAAAGCGAAACAAACAAACTCACTTTCCGATTTATAATATTAGTAAGGATGTTCGTGTATATTTTATGCGTAAACGTTTCGAATGCGATTGTTTTTGAAGAAAATAAAATAACCATACTAATTTTGCTCTTGTCTTAAGTAAGAGGTAATCTAGTGTAATATCTGCGAAGGGTATAACAGTAAATTGTAATGTGTTTACGTTGTGGTGGCGTAGGAGTCGTTTCTGCGCGGTGTACGGGGAGTGGATCGCGTACTGCGGCGCGCGGCGCGGCGCGGGCTGGCGGCGGCGCGGGCCGGCGGGCGCGGCGGGGGGCGCCGGCCCGGGCGCCGCGCTCACCACGCTGTGCTTCGCGCTCAGTCTGCTCGGCCGCCGCGCGCTCGCCGCCGCGCAGCATCTCTCCGCCTCCAGGTACACTTTGTTACTTATTCAACATTTACGCCAAACTTTTTTTAGTTCATTCAGTAATTAATAAAGCATTCTTTTGGGGTCCAAACTCTTAATACTTAAGAATCAGTCGATCCGAAAGGCTACCCAAAGACTTTTAAGAATTAAATCTTCCTGAAAATGACAACTTCTGTACTTCGTTCAAAAAGGTTGACCTTAAATTTTATCTTCTTATTTGATTTAACATACTAATAAAAAACATAATGTTTCCAGCGTGGAGTTCTTCCTATACGGCCTACACTCGCTATTCAAGGGCGACTTCCGCATCACATGCGCGCGCGACGAGTGGGTGTTCACCGACATGTCCCTGCTGCACTCCGTCCTGGCGCCCGCCATACGGATGGCGCTTAAACTACACCAGGTACTTACTAACACACTTTTTTTGAGAGGGGGGGTGGATCATCCAATGACCATTCCCGCATCGAGTGAGGCGGGATTCTTACTGACTTCGAACCAGAAGGGTTAACCTCGTTAAGTTGTCCGTAGCTCCAAGTCGGGCACTAACCCTACTGGGCCCCATCAGTGGTGGTCTGTTGGCTCTTTGTACGCTCAAGCTACTCTTGCTCGCCATCCGCAGACCCGTGCTTACGGTGGCTACTATACCTGCTTCTGTGATTTAGTTGTGCGATGGATTTTTCCAACTAACGATGATATTTGTTCCCTTAGGACCACTTCATGTTCCCTGAAGAGTATTGCAGCAGTTCAGCTCTGTACTGCGCCATAGCGTCCCACGCCCAGCGCCTCGTCATCTGCCACGAGGCGGCCCCCGCCTGGAGGTACAACGTACTGCGGGGCGCGCCGCATCTACTCGCACTCAGGTACATCTATACAGGATTCATTGATTGAGTAAAAATGTCACAGCACCATACTGTTGTACGACTTTTCAATATTCATCCAAATTGTCATAAAAAAAATTCGTACATAAAAATATTTCAATTAAACGCTCTAAATGTTACGAAACCTACATAATATACCATCAATACAAATAGATAAACAAAGACCTAACTTTTAAGTTCTGTATGATTTTTTTTTAGGAAATTAACCGTGATGTTTATGATGTTAATGATACGATCCTGCAAGGTTGCTACTTAATTACAAATAGCTTTGACTATCATGCACTACTCACTGTTACATTAATATTACAGACACGTGGTGGACGAGGGTAACGACGATTACAAGATAATAATGCTGAACAAGCGCCACCTTGGATTCCGAGTCATCAAGCTCAACCGCGAGTGTGTACGCGGACTGTGGGCTGGACAGCAACAGGAACTGGTCTACCTCAGGAACAGGAACCCTGAACGAGGGTCTATTCAGAACGCTAAACAGGTACGTAGGTTAACTCTCTACCTGTAACGTTTGCGGTACTCGAATCTTTACGAATTAAACACTCCTAAAAATGGCTCTATCCACTTGTGAAAACCGTATAAAAATCGATTTATTAGTTTTTGAGTTCATCACGAGTATACACGATATCTTTCATTAGAATGAGAAGAGACGATGAAACGTTAAGGTACACGATTTTGACATACCTCTTTCGCTTTATCTACGGTTATAAATTGTTGAATGCGTATTTGTCTATCGTGGGATCGTATACAGAACTTAACCACAACAATGTTCTTTGTCACTTAAACTATAATTTTGTGTATGACAGGCTCTCCGCAACATAATAAACTCGTCGTGCGACCAGCCCATAGGCTACCCAATCTACGTGTCCCCGCTGACGACATCGTACGCCGACACGTCCCCCCAGCTGTGCGAGCTACTGGGCGGCCCGCTCACGGTCTCCGCCATACGACAGCGCCTGGCCGCCGCCTGGAGACGGTAACTAGCATCCTATATTACTGGGCGGCCCGCTCACGGTCTCCGCCATACGACAGCGACTGGCCGCCGCCTGGAGACGGTAACTAGCATCCTATATTACTGGGCGGCCCGCTCACGGTCTCCGCCATACGACAGCGACTGGCCGCCGCCTGGAGACGGTAACTAGCATCCTATAGTACTGGGCGGCCCGCTCACGGTCTCCGCCATACGACAGCGACTGGCCGCCGCCTGGAGACGGTAACTAGCATCCTATAGTACTGGGCGGCCCGCTCACGGTCTCCGCCATACGACAGCGACTGGCCGCCGCCTGGAGACGGTAACTAGCATCCTATAGTACTGGGCGGCCCGCTCACGGTCTCCGCCATACGACAGCGCCTGGCCGCCGCCTGGAGACGGTAACTAGCATCCTATATTACTGGGCGGCCCGCTCACGGTCTCCGCCATACGACAGCGACTGGCCGCCGCCTGGAGACGGTAACTAGCATCCTATAGTACTGGGCGGCCCGCTCACGGTCTCCGCCATACGACAGCGACTGGCCGCCGCCTGGAGACGGTAACTAGCATCCTATAGTACTGGGCGGCCCGCTCACGGTCTCCGCCATACGACAGCGACTGGCCGCCGCCTGGAGACGGTAACTAGCATCCTATTTACTGGGCGGCCCGCTCACGGTCTCCGCCATACGACAGCGACTGGCCGCCGCCTGGAGACGGTAACTAGCATCCTATATTACTGGGCGGCCCGCTCACGGTCTCCGCCATACGACAGCGACTGGCCGCCGCCTGGAGACGGTAACTAGCATCCTATATTACTGGGCTGGGGAGTCCGCTTACCAATTTTTGAGATTTCTGCCTTGATAATTATGAACGTAGTCTATATCGGCTACTAGAGTGACGTCACTCTCTATCTCTTCAACTGTCTTAATTCAACTACATTTATTTATTTATAATTCATTTATTAATACACATAAAAATATAGGTACTTACTCCGTTTTTCACGGCTGTCTTAAGAGCGGTTTAAACTGTCAAACGCCAAGCGGTCACCGGTGACCGCAACCTATTGTTCTTTAATTGTGTCTATAAATACGGTACTCGACGAGTTAAAGGACCACAATCATATCTAGGAATCTGGTATCAGTGTTGTCTAATAAACTTGATCCATTGAAATTGCAACCTTCATGTTCTGTACATGCAATAAGTTGTATGACGTGCCCCAGAATCCGTCGTCGTTGCGGCGAGGGCTGTTCGTCTGGCGGCGCGGGCGGCGCGTGCGACGCGGCGGCGGCCGAGGCGGGCGCGGCGCGGGCCAACACGCCCAGGCACAACGCGCTGCATCTCTCCAGGACCTCGCTCGGTGACTGCACGCACTTTTAAATTTATTTTATTTAGATAAAACCTCAAATTAATACGGTACTTGGATACGAATAAAGTCAGCGTTGCCTTTCTAAAGACTTTAAAAAAGACGGAGGCGCTATGTCTGGATGATCGCTTATGCCGTAACAATGGAGTCTGTCGAATGATTTGATTTTTTTTTCATGTTGATCATAATCTTGCTACATATCTGCGTTTAATTAAAAATGAAACCTTTATTTGCATTACTTTATTATTATATTATTTAAATATACTAATTTTCGATATACATTCCAGCGGGCACACGCGGTAGCTTAGCCAGTGCGGGCAAACCGACGTCGTCTACTCTAGCGTCCCTGGCCGGACTACTGCGGGACCATTCTCACGATAGACCGATAGACCGCACGCACGATGACTCCGGTATGTTATCTACATAGCTTTGATTGACCAATTAATTAATGAAAAAAAAATAGTATAAACTATTATTTGTTACCGACAAAATTACTAATCATTAATTTTGTTTCTAATTATACTGTCTTTGCCTCCATAGAAATTCAATATTCTTGCTCAAAAACTTATGTAAACAAACAAATTTTTGCATGTTTAGTATATATCAATTATGTTTTATTATTTATTTTAGTTAAGTACGTAACTAATTATATTTTATGTAATTATGTTTTAATAACATAAAATTATGAACTATATTTATTTGTTTTTGCCGAAACAAAAGGACTAGATATATTGAAGATATATAACTGTGAGTGGTATTTGTATTAATATGTAGCGAATGTAGATGTATAGTATTCACTAGAATGAGAAAAGGTAGAAACTAGGAAAGCTGAAAACTCATAGAGTTACTTATGTAATAAGTATTAAGTTACATAGGGAGTTTCTATCTTTGTCTTATTGTATAGTAGTTTATTTTGTAGCATCATTTCATTAATAGTGAACAAGATAAGATACATCAAACACTGCGACTGCAAGGTTGGTGCGGTGGCTGGGCAACCGGCTGCCGTGCAACGTGTCGCGGGTTCGATTCCCGCACGGGACAACACTTTGTGTGATCCACAAATTGTTGTTTTGGGTCTGGATGTCATGTGTGTGTGAACTTGTATGTTTGTAAACGCACACACGACACAGGAGATAATGATAGTGTAGGGCAACATTAAAAAAAAAAACAGGTGTAATTATAATAGTTATTTTTATTTGTGTTCCACATTCAAACCGAAAGTTATTCAGCAGCAATGTATAGATTATATGAGTACGGTAATAAGTTGTATGTGTGGTATTGTAGCCGCGAGTGGAGTGGCGGCGGCGGGCGGGGGCGCGGGGGGCGCGCCGCGACCCGCCGAGCGCAGGGGGCGACCGCGCGCTGCGGGGAAGGAGGGGCGCCAGGTACGTACGGTGATAATGAAGTAAACAGATGGCCTGATAAAGATTACTAGGAACCATTAGATGCAAGTCGGCCTAATATGTAGACCTATGTTAAGCAGTAAACATCCATAACTGGATCATAGTCATTAGTCATTTTGTAAAGTGTCTAGCAGAAATAACTATTTAAGTATTTTAATTCACAAATGATTATCCCAAGTTTTGATGTAAATATTTAACATATTGTTTCTGGATTTATGTGTCTATATACACGTATTTCATCGTAACTTAATAATAAATAGAGGAAGATAACTTATTGTCACCAGAATAAACAATACATTGTGACTCCCCCAGAGCGGGCGTGGCATGCGTCGCGCGGCGCCGGCGTCGTTCCGTCTGCTGGGCGCGGCCGACGCCATGCGGCTCGAGCCCGCCGCATGCTCCTCGCATCCCAACGACGACACGCAGGTATACCTACCTCTATTGTAGTGTTCTACATTACTGAAGCGTAGTCACTTATCTTATAAAAAATGACTGTCAAAATGTTATGAACCATTTATTTTATGACATCTTCAACTTTATGGCAAATTGTTGAAGACACAAAATTGTGGTAACTTTTAAAAATGTTCACTAATCGTAACATAACATATTATCGTTGGTCAGAGTGCGGCGGGCAGTAACTGGGAGTGCGCGTGGCGAGACCAACCGAGGCGGGCCGCTAGTGCTAAGGTAAGTCGAAATAAAGTCACCCTAAAATTACAATAGAAAAGTATAGACCACAAACTAATAACTAGCCACATTTCATATAAGAAAAGATTTGAACGACGTCGTTTGAAAATAAAAATGAAAATGAAAAAAAAATCATTTATTTGTAAACATAGGTTATATAAAGTTGTTTGAATGATTGGCATACAGTGAAATACAGCGAGTCTTCTAAAACATTCTATTGGTATTACCATTGCAAACCCCTGATGCCAGCCAATTCTACGTGTCAAAGTAAAGCTGATATTAACTTTCATACCATCAGGTATCCAGCAGTAGAGGAGGTCCAAGCGCCGAGTCATCTCTGGAGGACCTGACGCTGACCCCGACAGGTCTGGACCTGTCTCTGCCGGACTGTAAGATCATCGCCAACAGAAACGCCAGGCAAGACAGAGACTTTAAAAGGTATTCATGCACGATCATCATTCATTGTCATCGCTTTACTTATCACTACGTCTATAAAGAAATTTTGTACGGTTTAATTGTATGTCTTTGAATATACCTAATATTATATAGGTTAAGTTAAGTTATGCAAATTGAAGTCTGTTTGAAACTTTCTTTTGTGGGAGAGGCATGCTTCGGCACGAATGGGCTGGCTCGACCGGAGTGACACCACGGCCTCACAGAAAACCGACGTGAAACAACGCTTGCATTGTGTTTCGTCATGTGACTGAAGTTACCGGAGGCCCAATTACCCCCTCCCTAGTCTACCGAATCCCCGAATTCTCCACAATCCTCAAATTCCCAATTCCCAAAAGGCCGGTAACGCACTTGTAACACTTGTTTCGGGTGTCCATGGGCGTCGCCGATTGCTTACCATCAGGTGCTCCGTCTGCTCGTTTACCGGCTTAGGCTATAAGAAAATTGTACTGATTGGATTTGTTTAAATATAGCATAGTCGTCTACTTATACTTTTCTGCAGTACTACGCCAAGTGAAGAGTTATTAAAATTTTTATTCAATACATTGCATGTATCTACTACCTATTCAATGAATGTATTCATCTCTGTGTTTTAAACATAATATTAATAACAATTCCGACAATTCTCTACTCAAAACACCGCTATAACCATACCATGTCCATGTACCATCTTAACTTAATTATTTTAATTTATAATCCCTTCGCTTTGAATGTTAGTGTGCGAGCGACAATTAATTTGATAATTTTTCACTGACATACCCATTATAACATTTTCACCAACATTTTAACTTATAACACCAAATATATTTATTAAAATAATTATGTTTAACAGGTACTATGTCAATGAAATGACTCCGAAAGACTTGTCGAAACTCAGTAAAGAGATTCGACACGAAAGGGAGAGCTATAGAGAGCTAACAGGCCGCTACATTGAGAAACCTGAAGCTATACCTCTAAAGGAAACCCACTATTCAGACTTATCAAACAAAGAATCGATACTCAAGAAAGAAGCTAAAAAGGACTCTAAAGCCAAAGAAATAAAGACTAAAATTAAACGGTCGGACTCTGGTAGGAGTGAGTTAAAAGTGAATGTCAGTGTGGGCAGTAAGGTGTTGATAATAGAGCCGTTGGGAGTGTACGACTGTATCAACCTGGGCAGGAGGATCGACGTACAGTGGCCCTCCGAGGCGGAGAGGGAGCGGGGCGGACGCAACTACTGGGGGACTTGGGTGCCCCTCGCCGGGATGGACGGACTGGTGAGTGCAGGACATACTTGTTATAGCTGTCTAGCTTTCTATCGGCAGCGTGGTTATCGTAAAAAATCAAACAGAATTTGACCCATGATTTTAAACAAAGAACCTTGACCGTCAAACTCATTCCTCCCAATAAGATTCTACACTTTCCAATAAAAAGATTTTTGCTCGTTCTTACTAGGAATTTACACTTTGGCGCTACCTTTAATAAGTAACCGACTATAAGAAATTCTGTTTTGACTATCCCAAGGTAAACGTTTTTCAAAACTGGTTTTATACTAATAAATCCTATGTTCCCAGGTGGTACACAAATGGACGCCCAACCACAGAGACCCCAAGCTCCGCTCCCACGTGGACAAGAGCATACTACTTATACAAATTGATGACAAATTCGTACCCATAGCCGAAAACTGCGTACAAGACCTCGGCGATGAAGTCTGAACCTTACCCCCAAGGACACAAGGTCGAAATCACATCAGACAACACGTATGAACATTTCAATCTATATTATTACAAGTCTGAACCTTATATGTATAACAATAAGGTCGATAATACCTTCTTTATAGGAATCTTTGACGATAGAAACTCTGTTTAGATACATTGCATGAGTCCTGACAGTTGGGACGCTTGCACGATCTCGGTGTTGAATTATGAACCTTATGTGTACAGTAGTAAGGTGTGTTATGCTTATTTTTAATTAACGCAAATGATGCAGTTCCTTTTAAAGACTTGTGACGTAATTAATGACTTATTAAGGTAATTCTAATCATATAATTGATCAATTATTTGTATCTGTCGAAAATATTCCTTTATAGATTGAAATCTTATGTTTTTTTATATATAGACCTTATGAAACCCTTATGAATTATACATACACCTATAACATACAAACAAATAATATATGTCTGAATAACAAACCAACAGTTTCAAATATAGTGATTATAATTATCTCTATAAGTCATTAATTATGCTACAAGGTACATGTAATATTATGGTGTTATCATTTTAAAGGTGATAGGCAGAAAAATAAGACCAGCATACTAAGTTATGTTTCCAGTGTAAGAAGCTCCATGACGTCGTTCATATCTGTTACCATGGGAGCTCTACTTAAACTGGTCATGTTTAGTCCCTATGTTGGTCCGTTCTTTATTATGAATGTCACAAAACATAGAAATATAAAGATCTTATGACAACTATGAATAAGTTTAAATGGAATAGAAAACAATGGATTTTCAACCTTACCTCTTAATGTTAAAGTTCATTCTCCTATGAATATTTTGTTCGTGACAGTTTGTGTTAATCTCAGTCTTATTTCGTAGGGAATTAAGTTGGTAATACACGAAAACAGTTCATAGGATTTGAAGTCATCCCCGATCGACTTAAAATGTTTAATATATGGATATGAAGCTAGCTAAATTGTCTACCATTATATTGTAATTTATAGACCAAAATTAAATTCAAATGTTCACTAAATAAAATAAAACGTATGTAGTTCCATCTCTCTCTGTTATAAGTATATAGAAAGGGATAGAACGTGTTCATTTGGTTTTTTATTTAGTGAATTTTTAATGATATGGTTGACATTTGAAGGTGGAGTGGGCAATAAAAAATAGATAGGTGATCTCAAAGCAATGACTTGTGTTTCTTTTTCATCATAATTCACAATCTCCAAGGTTGGCAAATTGTTTGGAGATTTTTTAAATATGTTGTCCCACACTGGAACTTTCTCCTAGGTCGTGGGTGCGTTTACAAACATACAAGTTCACATACGCATGACACCCAGACCAGAAACAATAATTTGTGGAACACACAAAATGTTGTTCTGTACGGGAATCGAACCCGCGACACGTTGCACGGCAGCCGGTTGTCCAGCCACCGCACTGACCGTGCAGATTGCAATAAGAGCTCTGAAATTTCGAAGATTATGTTAAACCTGACAGTCTTGCAGTAGTTTGTCATACTTAGAAAAACATACAAGAGTTGCCTTCTCCACATTTCAATTGGCAACCTATTTGGTATACAGTTACAGGATTATTTTCCATGATATTGGTATCTGCCATTAGTATCAACTAGATGTAATATACGACCGTATTATTATTATTAAGTTGCGTTCTAGAATACCATGTGTAAATAAATATTGACGGTTGTGGCGCAAGTTGGACTTTTACGACTTTAATATCACTCATGTAAAAAACATATATACGGTCGAATTGAGAACCTCCTCCTTTTTTGAAGTCGGTTGAAAAGTATCTTCAGGGAGAATTGTCTACGAAAAATCTTACTCCGATATTGAACTTATTACTTACGTCCTGATTTATGTCCCGTATGGCAATAGGGGGCGCTTCTTACTGGTCAAAATAGTGTTACAAATTATTCTGAGACGTACTAAATTAATTTAAACATGAGGCTTATTTAAGTACAGTCCCAGCAGCGCACGCTGTTTATAAATATGATTTGACTCGACCCCGGTTTGACTCGAAATTAGTCGAGCCATTCTCGAACCCTTCACGTAAGAATAAGAAGAAGCTGTACATTTCAATTGATGTAGTTTTTCATACTTGTCTAGTGTCTACGTCTCAGCGATTAAAGTTTTGTTATCCTGCCAGCAATGATGCCGGTCTATTGCCAAGAAATAGCACAAATATAAAACTAAATTTTACTGAAACTATTTCTAAAATAATCGTCGATTTCAATATCTGTTGAATAGTGTAATGAAAGAGTATAGAAAAATATATTAGGTAAAAAATATTTGCTGATTGTTTCTTGCCAATTTATAATGCTCGTTGTCACATACATGAATATTTACGACAATTTATTCATCTATTTACGTAATTAAATGTTTTAATAAAATCTTGAATTAATGATTGCTACGTTTAAGTGGCTGATTGTTTTGAAAAACGTTCAAATTGTGGGAAAATTGTTAAAAAAAGAGTTGTAGCAAATGTGTGAATGAAAAGAATTTATGAAATTTTAAGTATTAATTAAATTTATTGAAATCGTTATTGACATCGTTTAAAGTATAAAAAACAGATAAATACCTTTAGATCTGAAACGAATGCATAAAAGTCCACAGTACATGCAAAGGAAAATAAAATTCAGAAGCTTGTACGTAAAAGTCTACAACGACTTGCGACCACAACACAAGCTTCGTTGTGTGTGTAGCGTTAAATTGTAAATATTTGTAAATAATGTAAAAAAAAACAATGAAAAAATGTATATTCGTCTCTTTAATATATTATTAAAAACATCTTATTACAGTACATAAGTAGAAACCTTTTTTATTTTTGTTATCAATTATTTTTTTTATCTAAATTTGTTTTGTATAAAATGCTGTTCACTCCAAATATCTTTAGTCTGACACCAAATGAATGTGTAATGTGTATTTAAATTATTTATAAATTATATTTAGGTGGCTGTGTGTGTGCTGTCAAGTTAAAGAATCTTAGAAACACTAGAAAATGTACAACAAACCCAAAAGTAAGTGTTTTTTTGTCCAAAATGATATTATGTCGCTCAGGTTGATTAAAAACATGGTAATTTATATTCTAATAGAGAGAGAACTAGGTTGATTTGTCACTGAGATCATCTTGATCTAAGAAAACGGACGAAATACTAATTCCTTCACGATTCAACCGATAGCCACAAATTACTGCTAAAAACAAATCCTGGTCTCCCCTACATATCTCTTAAAGTATTTAGATAAGTTTTCTAAGAACATTTAACTGGAAATATTGCTATACACACAGTACATGTATTTGTTCACTGTTGTTATTATATTATATATACTATAGTGCATTTGATATATTATCACTCTATAAGTATATGTATTGTTTACAAAAATAATGGACAAATTATAATAATGACGTTGAGTTTTGCGAATTTAAAGGGGTGTGAAATTGTCAATGATATAACTTATAAATAATATTGTTTCAGTAAAAAACAATGTTAAGAAATAACACTATACTGTTGAATTAATACTTTAGACCAATTACAGAATAAAATTAACTATTTAACGCTCGAATATTCAATTGCTACTCAGTTTTAAGTTGGATTTTAATGTTATTCTATCTCTGTCATATTATAAACCATTTGTAGTGACAGAACTGTTCTCAAGGGCGACGTAATATTGAGTAGTTGACCACCAAAGTCCTAACCTTCAAAAAGTATATGCTACAGGTTGATACATTTCATAATATTATATTGAATTTAAAAATAAACGATCTGTATTTGTTCTAAAATATGTAATAATTGATAGATTTCACAGAATCCCCGAAGCGTTGAAATAATTTAAAAATTATAATTCAATTGTTCACTTTATATTATAGTCGCTGTGTTGTTTGTCGTCTGCTAATGAATTTACAACAAAATATTCATTATTAGACCATTTTTTTTTAATCTTTTACAGTTTAAATAATATAATAACCTTTTTGCTTTATAAAGTTGGATATATATAACTGAATAAACCTATATTGACTCAATATCAATGATTTTATGTTGAATATTTAATAGTATTAACGAATAATGTTGAATTTATTAGCAGGTGATAAAATAATAGATAGAGACTCTACTGCACTCTTCACTTATGACACCCTGTGTCTCTTGTGGTATCCGTTCGCGTTTACAATTCATTCTTTTTTTAAATATCTTCAATAAACAGTTTAAAAAAGTTTTTTGTTCTGAATTCTTTGAGTACATTTTGTGAATGTATTATCTCATTCCGTATGATTTTATTGACACAAATTAGCTTTAATTTATGTAAATGAAAAGAAATACCAATACTCGTAAAATAAAATAATATGATAAAAATACTAATTAATATTATAAAATTTTTAATTATTCTCATTTTTTCATCAACGCGAACGTACCACAACTAATATATGAGTATATATTATATTCTCAAGTTGCCTTAATATATTTTAGACTGATTTTTTATATCGTGATGTGTGTCAAGCAGATATAGATAGTTAAGGTGAAAACTGCGCTTGTTTCGTCATTTTAATGTTAAGGTCGCAGTACTTATGAACTTGTGTTTGGGCGGTTTACTCATATACGTTTGATGCCGACAATGGTATTTGTCGTCTATATGGAAATTAGAAATATTTACAACACAATAATTACAAGAAAATTTTATCTAATTATCTTACATATACTATGGTCAGTATAGAACATTTTTTATCTTAAAATGTTGCCTGTACTATGCGATATTTCTAATTTGACATAAAGGCGACAATAATTGCCAGATTAAAAAATCCGAATTTATATTTATTACTTTGCAAAAATGATATAGCTCTGCGTTGATGCTTGGTGTATTCAGTGTTAGTCTAAATTGAATCTTAATGCAATGTAAAAGGGTAGATGTTTGTACAGTAGAATGGCACGATCCGTCCACAAGTGATTTTTTCTGCATATGCGAGTTATTTTTGTCTTCGTTCAAATTGTTT